AGAAATACTATCAATCAGACGATTTACAAAGAAGACTCCAGAAGGCATTGTCCCTCTTAAAACAATATCTGTAACTTTTGCCGGCAATGTTTTACCAGACTATGTTACTTATGAACTCTGTGCTTTACGTGTAGAACCTTATGTAAGACCTGTCTTACAGTGCTATAAATGTATGAACTTTGGTCATACCTCTAAATTTTGTAAAAAGAGCATAGTTTGTTCTGTTTGTACTGGTCCTCATTCATATAAGGAATGTGATAACACTGAAAATCCTACTTGTGTCAACTGTAAGGGAGGTCATGTAGCAATCTCAAGTACATGTCCAATTAAAAAACAAAAAATAGAAGAAAACAAGAATAGAATAGTCAATAAAATTACTATTACCTCACAGTTTCCACAAATAAGCAAACAAACATACAATAAAACACTATCTCAAGGCACTCCACTTCATAAAACAAAAAAAATGGAAAATAAAATTTTATTACTAGAATTTATTAACAATGATGAAATTTTGAATGCATTTATCAAAACATTTATAATACTAACAGATAAGGATAATAAACTAGCAGTTAATTACAAGACAATTAAGCAAATCTTGATAGAAAATGTTAACAATAATGGATAACAACAGTTTTAATTATTTAAAAATATGTCAACACAATATTCAGAGTTTGAAACCAAAGAAAGCATTAGTTCAGAACTTCATATATAGTTTTGATATAGATATATTAGTATTAAATGAAACTTGGCTTAAACATTCTGATAATTTTTATATATCTGGTTATAGAATCCTACGCAAAGATTCAGGTAATGGTTATGGTGGTATTGCTGTTTTATATAAAGAATTTATTAAATGTGAATTAATAAGTACTATATTCACAAATAGTATACAAAATATAGCATTTAAAGTTGACACAGGTAAAGGTTTCTTGACTGTATTAGGTTGTTATTGTCCTCCAAGAAGCAACCGTTTCCCTATTAACACCTTGAAAACTATAATTCGATCACTCCCGTCTCCATTAATAATAACTGGTGATTTAAATGCACATCACACAGCTTTCGGTTGTGCAAGTAATAAATCACGTGGTGTCCAAATCTATGATATGTTAGAAGAGTTCGATCTTTGTATATTAAACGATGGGTCTCCCACCACTGTAAATAGACCAGGCAATGCACCTTCTGCAATAGACGTCACCTTTGCATCAGCTAGTCTTACTCCTTCTTGTAATTGGACAGTTCACTCTGAAGACGCTTTGGGTAGTTACCATCTTCCTACAATAGTTAATATTGAAATGCATTTTGAGTATTACTGCATCAATAAACCGGCAAAATATTTATACAAGAATACGAAATGGGAGGATTATACAAAATTATCGCAAGTTTTGTTAATTAATTACAGTTTTTTTCTAACTGACAACCCGTTGAACGATTATGACACTTTTATCGAGTTTGTAAACAAGCTGAAAGACCATTGCGTTCCGAAACGCGCAGAGACAATAGGATCAAATGGTATGTTGAAGCACAATCCCGTTCCTTGGTGGAACGATACTTGTTCCAAAGCAGTTAAAAGTAGTAAATTAGCCTTGCGTATGTATCATCGTTTTCCAACTTTAGAGAATTATATTATTTATAGAAAAATTGATGCAAAGAAAAAACTCATTATCAAAGAACAAAAGAAAGAAAGTTGGCTATCATTGTGCTCTTCATTTTACCGGACCACGCCTATTTCCAGAATTTGGAATTTTATCAAAAAATTTAATGGTAAAAAACCTTCAGTATCAAAAGCGAATGATAGTTTGATACCTACTTTTTTAGAAAATTTCTCTTCACCGCAGGTTTCTGATAGTGTATTAATTTCATTAAATAATTTGTTTAACAATAATCTAGTTAATGAACATTTAACTCGACCCTTTACTGAGGCTGAATTTAATTTTTCTTTAATTGCTAGAAAAGATACAACACCAGGACCGGATGATATACCATACCTTTTGATTAAAAAAATGCACAATGATGGTAAAATATTATTGTTACAAATTTTCAATAATTTATGGCAAAAAAAATTAATTCCTCCTAGTTGGAAAATGATTTTAGTAGTTCCAATTCTGAAACCAGATAAGGATCCATTAATAGCAGACTCATATAGACCCATTTCGTTAAACTCTTGTATCGGAAAACTATTTGAAAACATGATCAAAAATAGATTAGAATTGTATATAGAATCAATAAATGTCATACCGTTCGAACAGTACGGTTTTCGTAAGGGTAAGAGTAGTATAGATAGTTTATTAAAATTCTCTGGTGACATACACAATGCATTTGCAAACTATTCCCACCTAGTTAGCGTTTTTCTGGATACAAAGGGAGCGTTTGACAACATAGATTTGGTCACACTTGTACATATTCTCAGTTCATATAATATTCCAGGTAAAATATTATGGTTTATTTTTAATTTCTTTTATGATCGAAAAATTTCGATCAAATTCAATGGAAAAGTATATGGTCAAGAAGCTGTATATAAAGGAGTAATGCAGGGAGCCACTTTGTCTCCCTTGGTTTACATATTATACACCGCAGAAATAAACAGGTTCCTTATGCAAAAAGAGGTAAAGATCTTACAATACGCTGATGATTTGCTATTGTATACATCCAACAGAAATTTGGCAGTAGCTGAAATGAATATCAATTCTACACTAAACCAGATATATGAATATTATAAGATAAAACTAAAATTAGATTTAAATCCACATAAAAGTAATGTCATGGTATTTAGTAAGAGTCGAGGGGATGAGACTGTAACTGTAAAATTAAATTCATTAAGAATAACTCAAGTATATGAACATAGATTTTTAGGTATTACATTTGACAATAAGATGCAGTTTAAAACACATGTAAATAATATTGTAAATAAAATGCAAAAAGCTGTAAATATTTTAACATGTATAGCGAACGTTAGTTGGGGAATGGACCCAAAAATTGTAAATATGGTTTATAAAGCAATAGTTCGAAGCCACTATGATTACGGTTTATTTGTATATTTATGTTTTCTGAGTACTTACTTAATTCATAAGTTAAATGTTATACAAAACAAAGGGCTTAGAGTGATTACAGGAGCAATGTGTTCGACTCCCATTAATTCTCTTCAAATAGAAGCCGGTATAGCACCTATTCATATCAGAGCAAGTTATTTAGCAGAAAAATTTTTCTTAAAGGTAGTTGGTAACATTCAATATTATAATATGTTTAATAACAATGAAGTATTGCTATCAGGCCCAGTAAAGGAACAATTGAAATTAGAATTAAGAAACATACACAGGACTGACAAATGGGACTTTGGATCCCTTGAAACTCAATTGGTAAAACCTCATATATTATCATTAAAGATTTACAATAACACGGAATTTTTAAATTTTATATGTACAGAAAAAAGAGAGCATAGAAAGATTTATACAGATGGCTCCAAAACGGAGAGTGAAGTCAAAGCTGCTTTTTATGATTCTCAAGAGAAAATTGGACGATGTTTCAATTTAGATGTCAACACTTCTATTTTTACGGCTGAATCGTTGGCTATTTATGAAGCTTTAAAATACATAGGAAATATGACTCAAAGAAAGTTTTTAATTATTACGGACTCTCTCAGTGTACTGCAAAGATTAGAATCTTGTACCTTATCATATAAGAGTAATATATACATTTACAAAATAAAAGAAATTTTGAAGTATTTGCATGAAAACGAAATAACTATTGAATTGATGTGGGTACCGTCGCATAGTGGAATATCAGGAAATGAAATTGTTGATTCATTAATGAAATATAATTTACCAAACATTCCAATCTACAAGAAGTCCTCCGTCCCTTTTACGGATTACCTATCTTTATTAAAAACAAGAATGTATTTGAAGTGGCACACGTACTGGCAAGAGACTCAACTTGAAAAAGGTGCATGGTATGCTAGCATACAGAATGAAATTCCCAAGAAACCATGGCACTTTAAGTTAAAAAATCCTTCAAGAAAATACATAACGACTATAAACAGACTGCGAATGGGTCACGGCCAGTTCCGAGCACATCTGAAGAGAATGCATTTAGAAGACAACGACAAGTGTCGCTATTGTGATACAGGACAAATAGAAACACTTCAGCATCTCATCCTGGAATGCGGAGCTTTTAGTTTACAAAGACTAATTTTGATAGATGGCTTACTTAAGACCTACAAAAACAACGATATCCCCAATCATTTGCCATCTATCATTAGAAACCAAGAGTGTTACGAAATACTATTTGAGTTCATTATATATACTTTCGGCAAGATAAAGATGACATACCACTAATGACTGGCCAATATGGGAAACTCCAAGGCCGTAAAACTTATATATAAAAAAAAAAATACATGTTTTCGCGGCTTATTAATTAGATACAATCGATAGAACTCTGCAGACATTCTTCTTAACATTGAATTCGGCCACTGTTCATGGAATATCTGACATTGTGGCTGCAGATACTTCTCAAGTATTTACACCTTAATCTTATTCGTAGAATTCGTAGAAGATTAAGGAGCCGAAATATTCATGTTCCAACATCACAATTTGCCTCTTAATAAAAAAAAATACCTATGGACTTTTTTAAGACTCGCGCTAGCACTCAGATTTCACTCAATTAAAACGTACTTACTTCCCACTGCTATTTTGTTATGTGCGATATTCATTGTGTTAAGTTATCTTAATTACTGACAGATTCTTAAGTTCCTAATTCTTATTATGTTACCTTATTTTTTTTTAATATTTTAAGACTGTAGGTAACTTTAAATACATACTCTAGGAACTGTTTAAAATTTCAAAACAAACATTAGTTTTGAGTTTTATTTCATTGTTATGTGCCGATTATAATCGGCATGTTTTGCCGAATAGTCGCCGACTATAAACGATGCCGAATAGTCGTCTTTCCTGACTAGTGGGCGGCTAGTCGGCCCATCTCTATAGGTAATGTATCAACTTCAATTGTTTTAGTACGCCCTGCGGAAGCGCATTCGTCACAACGTGAATACGGACGGTCCGCCAATGGAGCACTGGCTTGACTTCGCCGCCGAGAAGTACGGGGAGCGGCTCGTGGCCGACATGAAGGTGGTCTGCTCCATACTCTACTTGTACCTGCCCGTGCCGATCTTCTGGTCGCTGTTCGATCAACAGGTTTGTTTCACAATATTTTTTTATGCTTCTGCCATCGAGACGTTCGGTTAGTAGCTGGTGGTCGATATGAAGGTGGTCTGCTCCATACTCTACCTGTACCTGCTCGTGCCTATCTTCTGGCCGCTGTTCGATCAACAGGTTTATTTCATGATACTGTTTTTGCATCTTAAGGACGAATACAACAAGTCCTTTATTGTCATAATTTAAAATAAGATTGAAAGTACGGTGAGCGATTAAAGACATAGAATTCGTCTCTTCTCTTGCTGATGCTACACTGCAACAGTCAAATCTAGTTACGCTAATTAGCGAAGTAGATTTAGCCCTCATCGCACTAAACGTAAGCTCATTTCTCAGAATCTCACCACTCAGCAGGGTCCTATTATTATACTAATTGTCCCTCGCATATCATGCACAGACTATTAGATACTAACGTGTTGATAATTCCACTTGCGAATAGTATATAATTACCAACTATTATAATAAAATAAAATTCTAGTGGACACCCGCGACTTCATTTGAATGCGATGCTCGATTTCACCTCCTTAAAGGATAAAATCTAAGATAAACACTATCCTATGTCCTTTCCCAGACTCATATATCTCTTTACCAAATTTTATCTTAATTTCTGCTTCAGCTGTTTAAGCGTGAAGAGGTAGCAAAAATACATTATTTCGCATTTATAAAGTTAATGTAATATTAGTTTGGACGATAGGTCAAGATTTGAAAGATTCTTATTTTACGTGAAAATAGTCGAAATAAGGATTACCTCATTTTTAAACTTAAAATTGTGTAATCACAATGATGATACAATTTTAAGTTTTAGGCCTAGCGCACACCGGGTGTCTCCCAGCGCGTCAGGAACCATCGAACGCGCAACGGCGCGCAGCGACTGTGAGCGCGGCCTAGAGCCACGAAGCGTGCCGGCTCTCGTGACCGCTTCGCAACGCTGTGCGCCGCTTATGTATTGTTTAATTTTTGTCACGAAAAGTTTGAACAAATTATATAGGAATTAAGATTTAACTTTAATTGTTAACTTCTAAGTATTTTCGTCGCGTCTCTTTCGATGTGTGCTACTCCATAAACTTAAGATAGTGTCATCATTGTGGGTTTGTAAATTTTTTGGGTGTGTTCGCTGCGGCTCTGCGCCTTAATTGTTTGAATGATTGTGACAATCAGTAAAGTTGTCAGAGCTTTAGGGAATAGAGAATAATAAGCTTAAAGCTAAGTTCACACGACTGCGCGGTCCCGCGCAGAACTACCTACCGCGCGGTACGAGGTCAAACCAAACAGCTAAATATTATTGTCCACACAACCGCGTGGAGCAAGCCGCGAATAAGCATATAAACTTGGCCACAAGCAATGCACCGCGGGAGTAATTAGAATTATTCTTTTTATAATACATGAAGTGGGGTTTATTTCATGAATCAGCAGCACATGTTTCTGTCACTTACATCTAAAATATACTAAATAAATTTAATTTATTTTTACCATTATTGTTATTGAGTTTATAAAATTTATATATAACTACTCGGTTTTTAAATTAGTCCCTATTTTCAATTCCTGGAGAAAACTTGTGAAGAAAATAATTTTTCTCTATTGTTATAATTCTATTACAATCAATCATCAAAAAGAAATCACCCACAATATCAAACATAAACTTATACTATGTTAATTTTATCCGTATAATATGACATCAGACGAATAAGTTTTATCCAGAGCGGTTGGAAAGTCAGTCCATAAGGAAAATTAGAATTTTCGAACCTACATTATAATACCTACTTATTACTGAAATAAAGTTTGGGGAGTTTGTTAAAAAGAACAAGTCATTTGGATATAATACATATCAGTAGGTTATCATTTTGGGATGTAGAGCTCTTAGGAATTCTGCCCTTGTAAAGCGGTCTGTTTGAGAAAAACTCCTTTGGGAAGTGGATATACTGTACTTACTTAAAAGGTTGCGTTAAGTACGTCGCAAAGGGATTGCAAAAACCAAACTTCAAAGCGTAGGAAACAAATTACGTTGCCCGGAATGTGAATTCTGTTTAGTTAACAACCGTCTTGTTCCGGAACGCGATTGATAGTGATTAATGTTTATTTTTACTACTACAATCATTACACATTGAGGTAGTTTTTATTGTAATTTTAAAGGAACAGCTTTTGAGGCAACCTCGCAACTTGGTCTACAATAAGAGTATTTCTAATGGATTATTAGCGGGATAAAAATGTCTGCGTTGACCCCGTGCAAAGCTTTGGAGGAAGCTGTACACATCGAGCAAAAACATCCAAACTTTTTTGTAATAGTTACCATTTTCACAACTTTAATTCAGGGATCCCGTTGGACGTTTCAAGCATCCAGGTTACGGAGTGAAGTATTTGGTGTAACGCTTATGCCAGATCAACTGCAAGTGATGAACCCTGCCATGGTGCTAGTGATGATTCCCGTGTGCCCCGGAGGTGCTTGGCCTTTGTTACCGGATTTACCACCTTTGCACAAGATGTTTGTGGGCGGAATGTTGGCGGCCATGGCTTTCGTTTCAGCTGGGATACTGCAGATAGGAATAGAAGTGAGTGCTGAATTGTTGTAAAAATAAGTACCTTAAAACTCTTTAAAGTAACGTAGAATTTAGATTAAACCTTATTCCAGCCAGATATTAGAACAAAATCCTAAGCACAAGCTGGAACTGCACATCCGGTACGGGCGCTGCCGAGTTTCCATAGAAATTTTGACATTGCGATACGATTACAGAGATGTCGAAGTTCATGCTTAGACTTCAGTGCTGTGTGGTTATTTGACGATTATTATAAGCCTTAATTTTATCTTAATTACGTTATTTATGTCTTTTGGAGAATGCTTAATTAAAATCATGTAAATGCTATTTGCTTTAGTTTACTAGTACGCGATGTTCGATTAATAATTCGCCTAACCTTCTTTTTTTTCACAAAAATGATACTGGTAATATAGCATACCTAATGGCTCACCTTAGTGTAAAATAGAGGGTGCCCGCGACTTCAAGTGCGTGGAAACATTGGTTTCCCATACAAACTTTCATCCCCTTTTTACCCGACTGCGCAATGCAAGAGTGCGAAGCGCGACGCGCAGACAGGGTATAGTGTTTTTACCCGACTGCGCAATGCAAGAGCGCGAAGCGCGACGCGCAGACAGGGTATAGTGTTTAACAGTCTATATATGTATGTTTGTTCCTTTGTGGCACACTAGAGACACACCGGTCCAGGGGAGGCATCCGTGGAACCGATGCCGGGAGGACTGCATCGACCCGTCGGCCAGGGAGACCCGTAATAACGGGTGTTCCGCTGGCCGCCCGTGGCACAGTACAGGGGCCCAAGCGTTCCTAACCAGTTCGCGAGGCTGCCCCATCATGTCACGCATAATCTCGGGGTGGACCGTCGTGCCGGTTGGTGACCGGGGCGTGGGGTCCCGGCGGCCACTCCCGGGGGGTGCGGGGGCCCTTCCGTCCGGCGGGTCGGCGCATCTCCTCTGCAGGCAGTCAATCGGTAAAACAAACCTCCCTTATTTGCCCGGACTCTTCGCAACGGCGTCCGCTCCTTTTCGCGTCTCTTTTTTCACTTCCACCATGGCAGCCTCAATAACAAAGTTTGAACGTACAGCGGTGCACACCCCCACGCCTTCAACGCTGTTTGAGGTCGAGTTCTGCAACATACGCGGACTCCGCTCTAACCTCAATGCTGTCCATCACCATCTCGAGACAGCACGGCCAGCATTGTTATTCCTGACGGAGACACAAATACTTCCGCCTGCTGACACAGGCTACCTTAATTATCCCGGCTACGTGCTTGAAGAGTCCTTCAAAGCGAAAGCCGGTGTATGCCTGTATGTTCGGGCGGATGTTTGTTGTCGCCGTCTCCGCTGCTTGGAAGATCCCTCCTTCTCCATGCTGGGGGTACACGTCGACTCTGGCCCCCTGGCCAGAGTCTACGTGTGCCTCTACAGATCCCACACCGGCGATGTTGAGACAACTCGACTTTTCTTAGTCGGGCAGCAGATGACGCGCAGGAACAAGTTCCCAATGCAGAATTGGTGTTTTTGGGGGACTTTAATGCTCACCACAATTTGTGATTAAGTTCTTCCAAAACTGACCATGCAGGGATCTCTGCTCACACATTCGCTCTCACGCATGACTTGAAGCAACTGGTTGATCAGCCCACCAGGATCCCAGATATTCCAAGTCAAGCGCCTTCTTTACTGGACCTTCTGCTCACGACCCATCCACAGGGCTATCAGGTAAGAGCCCCCCTGGGCTCGTCAGACCACTGCCTGATATCTGCCAAAGCACCACAGGCCAAGCCTCCGCGTCCAGCAGTGGTCAAGCGCCGTATCTGGCATTATGGGTTGGCAGATTGGGACGGTATGCGTAGTCACGCTTTGCGTCCGTCCCTTGGAAGCAGCGCTGCTTCGGTGACAGGGACCTATCGGGCAGTGCCGTTGCCATTACTGAAGAGATTATAATGGGTATGGAATACTATATTCCTCATTCTGATCTCATCAGTAAGGGCACACGTAACCTCTGGTTCAATCACGACTGTGCTAAAGCTGCTTCGCGTAAGCAAGCGGCATATCGTGCTTGGATCAGAGGCCGCGCTCTCAAGGATCCCGGGGTCGATTCACTCAAAGCAGCCTACAATTGTCCCTGATTAATGATCGTCAATATGGTCCTCCCTGATTAATGATCGTCAATATGGTTTTAGACCGAAACGATCGACGGGTGATCTGCTAGCGTACTTAACTCATATCTGGGGTGAGGCTATCGACAAGCGTGGCGAGTCGTTGGCTATCAGCCTTGACATTGCCAAGGCGTTCGACAGGGTCTGGCACAAAAGCCTTCTCTCCAAGCTTCCGGCATACGGTCTGCCAGCCCAGTTCTGTTCTTGGGTAGCTGACTTCCTGCATGAGCGTAGAATTCGTGTCCTTATGGATGGTAGCAGTTCGCAGTTCATGTCAGTGAATGCCGGCGTTCCCCAGGGCTCCGTCCTAACCCCCACTCTCTTTCTGCTGCATATCAATGACTTGATTCCTCTTGGGAATATTCATTGCTATGCAGACGATAGTACAGTGCATGCAGGGTATCTCGGACAAGCAGTGGCTGGGCAGGCGGTAAACAAGGAGAAACGGGAAAATCTTCTCATTGAACTCAATCAGGCTTTGGACTACATTTCCGAATGGGGTACCAGGAACTTGGTTGAGTTCAATGCCAAGAAAACTCAGGCTTGCGCTTTCACAGCAAAAACATCGCCATTCCTTCCCCTTCCCTCTCTTCAAGGCACAACACTACCGCTACAGAGCAACATTTCCATGCTCGGCATGGAAGTTCGCTCAGACCTGAATCCAAAGGATTACATCGAAACCGTGATCAAAACAGCTTCACGAAAACTCGGAGTCCTGAACAAGGTGCGGCGTTTTTTCACGCCCGATCAACTGTGCTTGTTGTACAAAACGCGGTCCTGCGTGGAATATTGCTCGCACCTCTGGGATGGCTCCGCCAAGTACTTGCTCGATCCTTTGGATAGGTTACAGCGACGCGCGATCCGCATAATAGGCGATGAGGAGGTGACTAAACACCTTGAGCCTCTTCAATTACGCCGTGACGTGGCGTCACTAAGCGCGTTCTATCGTCTGTACCACGGCGAGTATTCTGAGGAGTTATTCTCTCTTATCCCACCTTCCCCTTTCCTTCAGAGGACCACGCGCGCTGGCCTACGCCTACGTTGTAACCGTTTTACTGTGGCCACAATTCCAACGCGTACAAAGAAATTTGGTGACTCATTTCTGTGTCGCACTATCCGTAAATGGAATGTTCTGCCCGCTCACGTGTTCCCTCCCTCTTACAACCTGGGATCCTTTAAAAGAGGCGTGAAGAAGCAACATGCAGGCCGGCAGGGTGAAGATGGCTGGTGTGGCAGGTAGAACTGCTGTATCTGCTATCTTCGCATCTGGACTTTACCTTCACTTAACATCGGGTAGGGTGGAGTCATTTGCCGGACCTATCTATATAAAAAAAAATCTATAAACAAACTTGCATTAAATGCACTGCACAACGCCGCCAGCTTTGCAAATTGCAATGAATATACACAATGTTAGCATTGAATAGGGTAGTCGAAAATAAATCCGACAAAATAAAAAAGTACAAGTACCCTACTCAACGGTTTCCTTGAGGATGGCTGGTGTGGCAGGTAGAACTGCTGTATCAGTTATCTTCGCGTCTGGACTTCACCTTCACTTAACATCAGGTGGGGTGGAGTCACTTGTCGGGCTATCTATAAATAAAATATATATACTTTTAACGCTTTTGATATTTAAAGACGATAAAGTTTGTCTTTTACACTATGGCATTTCGACCAATATTTAAAAAGTTGCAACAATGAAAAAGTGATAGCGCGTGTACTATGCTGCAGGAATAGTGGGAGAAGAATTTTGGAGTTTATAAACGTAGATAAAACCTAGGCGAAAAAGAAAAAAATGGGCTACTCACAGTATGCAATCCTATACGAAGTACTTATAATAAAACTCTGATACAGTCCCTTCTTACTAAATGATGAAAAATAAATTATCATAATAGGTATTTATGATTATTGTAATTTAATGAAAATCTCAGAATTATACTGTTTTTATAGATTATTTTAACGATATTACATCAGCTTTAAAAAAAAGGTTACTTAACATAATGAGAAATAACCTATTTTTCGCTAGTAGGTACATATTTAATGGCTCCCTGTATTTATTAATTTTCGCGGCAATGTTGGTTTTGTAATTATAAATGATAGATAATTCTGAAAAATTGAAAGTAAATAATATAATAAAGTTTATTCACCCATTCCATCACTATGCCTGTAAGTGTTGCGATATTGTAGCTTAGAACCAAGGCCCATCTAATTCTACAGGGAAATTCATCATAATCGACTTAGCTGTTAGGGCGCAGAAGTGTAAAAAAAACTCAGTTTCGCATCTATAATATTATATTATACTTACTAGTGATCCACCCCGGCATTGCACGGGCGAAATTTATTTTAACGGGATAAAATATAGCCTATGTCACTTGGATAAAATGTAGTTATAAATAAAATACTAGAATAAATTCCTCTCGGAGAAGTTGTCAGAGTGGATGTTTTCAACTAAAAATTTTCTTTAGATTTATAAATCGAGCAGATTAATAAACAATATTGAGATTAATGCTTGAAAATATAATAATAAATAATGTAGCTCCCTTATGATGAATAAATTTTCGAAATCGGTTCAGTAGTTTGACTGATTATTTGTTACAAACATACAACTCTTGCCTCCTTATAATATTGGTATGGATAGTAAGGTTAATAATATGTAATTGATGCGAAAGATTAAAAATAAGGTAAGTAGTAGGTTTATTTGATTATATTGGTAAAAGTTACTGAGCATTTTTGGTAATCAGTGATTCGTTATTCGGTAATTTATACATATTTGTTTCTTAGGTTTTCACGCACATCACTCATTAAATAAAACTAGTTTTTTACGGGTTAATGCGGGTAAATTTTTATGATTGCACCATTTGTGATACCTACTAGGCTGTGGTAGCCGTCCGATTGATAGGTGGAAGTGCTCTTCATTCGAGCTTTACACTACAAATAAAAAGGGTAGACCAGAAAGTCTGCGACCTGTAACTGGTGAACGCTTTAAAAAAGAATGACATAGATATAAATCTATACATTGGGTGATAAATTGATAATAAATGGGATTGCCATGGTGCTGTACCTTTTATTTCCGTGACGGGGAGAAAAAATGCATTATATCCACGACAATGACCAACGCCGCGTTAGTTTGCTGTCAACAAATTCTCGCAACGCAGGTAATTGCGTGGTGCATTCGCAAGCGGCGAGCAGCCGGAGGGCCGCTAGTCAGTGCGGGTATACTTTGACGTGCACTCACGTAAGCGTGGCATACGTCAAACGTCAAACCACCACGCCTCCGACCAGCCCAGTCCGCACTCGCTTTAGCCGATCCTGGGCTTCTCCGTTCAGCCATGGTGCTGTACCTAACGCTATGAAAATTTTATTCTGCACAATCAAATATTATAAACTTTGCTTTAGTGATTGCATAATTATTTAATTTAGCGATCTAAGGCTGTTGCCACCAGTGTCCAACACAACAGATGAGGATTATTCCATTCGTCAACCTCCGACATTAACGTTATTGATTGGTATTGTATATAGGGTGATTAACAACATTTGAAGTTAACCTCTGGCGTCTACATATTTGGTTTCTGTGAATTATGTAGGTATATCATATTATGAGACTAGGATATGACACTGTATTTTTGTATATCATAATCTTAGAGCCGGACGTTGATATGATAATGCAGCCACTGCCAATTTTAGATAGTCGACGAATAAAAGTAAATCATCACTATTTGAATAAGTTATAGTTAATTATAAAATTTACAGGCATTAGATATATAAGTAACGACTTGATTTACGAGTAACTTCACATATTTTGTTTTCCAGGGCGGTTTCCGCACTTAGTCCTAATCATTGGACCATTGTGCGTGTCGTGAAACATTCCCGTTTACTCCAGCCAGCCTAGGTTAGTCCAGAAGGAAAGCAGTCTTGGCAGACTGCTGCAAGCTTCCGGAAGCAATGCGGGTGACTGGAAAAGTCGTGCCCGTTGGTCGGCCACACTTCTGCATTCCATAATGACATGCTGTGGTGTTTCCTCTGCCTCCATACATCCTCTGCATAGGGGGCTGTATGTTACTCCTATTCTGTATAGGTGTTTGTTTAGGGGACAATGACCAGTTAGGGTTCCTATAATGATGCGGAGTTGGTCCCTATTAAGTCTGGTAAGGGTGCGGGCAAGTCTCTTGTTTGTCGCCGGAACTGCGTTTTTCGTTTGCCGGCATCCTCACCTGTTTTCCACTCAGTCAAGTGTAGGTTCTGAGTTCTTTCACGCAGATACTTTTTAATTTGGGCCTGAGGTATGGGCAGAAGAGGTTCCGGACCATACACTTTGGTGTCTGCTCCTCTCTTAGCCAGTTCGTCTGCTGCATCGTTTCCTATTGAGTTGCTGTGTCCTTTTATCCATTGCAGAGTTACCGTGTTGGTTACCGCAATGGATTGAAGTGCATTGTGGCACTCCATTACCAGGACAGAGTTTATTTAGGGCTTGAAGCACAGATGCACTGTCAGAGATGATTTTAATGTTGAACTCTCTGATGTCTCTGGCTGCAACCGCCTGTGCTGCTCTGGTAATGCCAATACATTCCGCCTGGAAGATTGTGCTTAGTTTGTCTAAGGTTGTAGATATTTTTATATTGAGGTCGTTCGAGAAGACACCGGCTCCAGTACCAATGTTAGTTTTGGAGCCATCTGTGTATATCCTAACTTCCCCGGCGCCAGAGTAATCTACCTTTTCCGCGGTAAGTTGGATGTTGTATCTTCGATCAAAGACGTGTTGACCCAATATTCTATCCATAGGTGCCTCCAGGAGTGGGATCTCCTTCATGCACTTTTGTAGAATATTGGAGTGTGTTGTTACAGTGTTTAATCTCCATAGGCCCAAAGATCTTAGTCTCAAGGCTGCTGCTTTCGCCTCTTCTTGAATGACCAGGTCTAGAGGTCTTAAGTTCAAGAGGTACTCTAATGCAGCAGATGGAGTTGTTCTCATGCATCCAGTTGCTGCTACGCTCGCCAAGCGCTGCAGACTTTGGAGTTTAGATTTCACTGTGGTCAGTTGGGTCCTGGGCCCACCAAACAACTGAACCGTAGGTTATTGGTGGCCTGATAACTGCTGTGTATAGCCAACGAGTGATCTTTGGACTAAGACCCCATTTTTTACCAACTAATTTTCTGCACTGGTGGAAAAGCTATGCAGGCCTTCTTTGTTTTTAATTCAATATGACTCGCCCAGTTCAATTTGTTATCAAGGATTACACCCAGATATTTCACTTGTGTTGATAGGGAGAGTTTGGTATTAAACAGTTTTGGTAACTGTAGTTCGGGTAGCTTCCTTTTGTTGGTGAAAAGAACAAGCTCTGTTTTATTCGGGTTTACTGACAAGGCTTGTTCGTCACACCATTTTTCCACAATCTGAAGGGCAGAACGCATAACTTTACACAGGACGTTTTTAGCGTTCCCATTTATCAGAATTGTTAGCTCATCCGCATAACCAATAGTAGTGTATCCTCTATCATTCAGACTCCTTAGGAGACTGTCTACTACTATGTTCCAGAGAAGTGGTGATAGGACTCCCCCTTGAGGACATCCAGCCTCTATGTCTTAATAAATCAATCGGTCTAAAACCACCGCAAGGTACTTAATAATTCCCGCGATATTAATTCCCTTACTTAAGTGACAAGACTACAGTATATGCCATCTTATAATACTAAAAAGAGTGAAATAAAAATGATAAATTTAAAAATCAAAAAACCTGACTGCTAAAATATTACTTCATATAAAAACTGAAAATAAAAAAACAAGTCCAGTAGTCTATAATTCTGTTCAGTAAGGAACAAAGCTATTTTAACAGTTTATTATCCGTCCCGACTGTTAAACAGTCGGGACGGATAATTTTTTTCAATAATGGGTCCCGACTGTTAAAATAGCTTTGTTCCTTACTGAACAGAATTATAGACTACTGGACTTGTTTTTTTATTTTCAGTTTTTATATGAAGTAATATTTTAGCAGTCAGGTTTTTTGATTTTTAAATTTATCATTTTTATTTCACTCTTTTTAGTATTATAAGATGGCATATACTGTAGTCTTGTCACTTAAGTAAGGGAATTAATGGGGTGACTTAAAACCTTTTTTACTCATAAAAGGAAACCATAATAGCTATATTTGTATCAGCGGTCAACATTGCAAGTACCAGGGCACCACCAGAGCGGGTTGGTGTTGCTGAACACGCTGGATTGTCCCGTGGAGATGTCGGTGCGAGGTGAGGGCGTTGCCCCCGTCGAGCAGCGCGGCACGGCGCTCATGACTCCTCTGCCGCACCGCGTGCTCGGCATCACTGTGTCCTGCCCTGTCAATTGTGCGGGCAGGGTCATGAAGAAACTCACGGTCAGGGAGGACTTGAAGACTGTCGCTAATATGGTATCTATCTACTACCTATTTGTTGAGCCGTAGACAAAGTGACAACATCATCAGTCTGTATAATAACCCTACTGCTGGTGCACAGGCCCTCTCTTTGGATGGAGAGGAAATGGGGGGAACCTCTCGTAACCCCAGGGATTCATACCATAATAACAATTTAATCTTAATCCTTCATTCGCTCAGTATAGGGTATTAAAAATAAAGTGTCAATTGTAAGCATCTGTATTTAGAATGAATGTTGGTAGGGGTTTTTACTATTTTTACAGAAAAAATATTCACAGTTTTACTAAAAACCCACGAAAAAGATAACAGTTTTCTTATCTATTGTCACGTGACCGAAAACGCCTGGCATTGGCGGAGCCGAAAATGACATCACACGCTAGTAAACTCCCGGTTAAAGTGACATTACATTGTATCGTTTGACGTTTTAATGACAGTCGTGTGACGTCACTTACCAATGAGACGCCATATTGACCAGTGAAACGTTTTCGCGGCAACTTGAAAATGGAGTTTTTGATTTAGTTATTTTCACTGAAATACACAACAGAATGATGAATATACACTTTTTATGGACTCCATAAACATTAGTAAATAACGAGTGATCGTTTTCTAAACTTGTCAAATACCCTATGCTGTCCGTGGCATAATACTCGTACACCACTTTATCCTCTTGGTACAATATACTTTTTTTGCATTAGGAATTAAAATATAAATTTGAGGTGATTTTCAATATGAATGTTTTCGTTACGTATTTTTTATTTTGGATATCAGATATTGTTTCGTTTTCTATTTACAGTTTATGCCGATAGTCATAGGGCAGAACTCGGACGACCAAATATCTATGTATTTTATGGATCCTAATGCGTTCATAAAATCTTTAACTGGAAAGCCGAAATTAAAGTAAGATCATTTTTAGGTTGTAGCATCATAATTTTATAAGTTATTTTATACTAATAGTATTAATTTAAAGCGCTATCTATCATCATACACATTAATCATCGAATATTGTAATCTGCTTTAAAGAAGCGCGGAATATATTCTGAATGGAAAAATTTGGTAGTTGCATTTGAAAGGTAAGATAGATGGAGCTAGTATGTAACTGTGTGAAATAAATTGCACGTTTAGGATGCGTGATTGCATTAATGTTCTGGAAAGAATTTTTGATGGGAGGTGTCTGTTTAACCGGTTCAGTCGTTTTCTCGCACCATATTAGGAGATATGAGAGAAATTTGCTAGCAGACACACGTGACCCTATGCCCCTATAAATAGCTGTGCGCAGACGATTTAGTTCTCTCTCTTGTCTGCTGATCGAACTCTGGAACATTCAGTTAACTGCACGAGTGACTGTTCATAAGCAAGTTATAGTCAGTGCATTATTAATTAATATACTTTCCCCGGATTAACGGGTCCTTTGAGGAGGCTAATAAAATCACTATACAAAAAATCAATTGATTAGATCTGCTTGGAATTTCCTTATAAAGTACGCTATATGAAAATGAGCCTGTGAATTGAATCCTGAAAGAAAACATGTTCATGTGATGACAGCATGTCCTGTTCCAATTCATGTGGACCCTTGAATCACTTGATGGTACCAAGATCTTAAGAAAAAGCTAAGTAAAATCTGAATATACTTAATCCTCATCCAGTGCATTCTCCGAATAACAAAATTTCTGTATTTCTAGAACATATCAGAGTATTTAAATTAATATATTGTAAAGTCATTAATAAGTAACTAGTATTTCACAGCACATTGTTTGTCAGTTTGTAAAACCACATCTTAATAGAATTGTTAACTTAAAAGAAAGAAAGATGTTGATCTTGGAATGTTATTGATTATATGTACAACCTTTAATTCTTAATCCTTAACCTTGTGAAAGCTAAATATATATAGATATACAAAGATATTTATAAATAATATTAAGAGTGTCAATATATGTAGAAAAATCCTTCTGAATATTGACAATCAATTTAATTCCTGATCCTTGATTGTGTAAAAGCTTTGTGTTGACAATATACATAAGTCTTGTTCACTGCGGTTATTGATTTTTTATTTATCTCCCTCAAATATTAGTATGACGGCGCCCTGAATATAAAATATTTAATTTTTAGTTTCATGCCCCCCCCCCCCCCTCTGAGTTGGCAGGTGATAGCAGAAATTGCTACAAGGTACTTAAGAAAATTTGGTTAAATTTGGCTCTGCGTTACGTGTGTGTGTGTGCTCTGTAGTTGAGGAGATAAGAGGGAAGAGTCGTATATTGAAATTATAAATAAGAAACTAGCGAGTGTCCGCGACTTCACCTGCGTGGAAATTAGTTCCCCATGCAGACTCCTCTTTTCACCAATTTCTCTTAAAAGATGATTTCTAGGACAAAAGCTACGTAAAGCCCAGGACTCAAACTATATCTCTACCAAATTTTAGTCAAATCGGTTCAGCGGTTTAAGCGTAAAGAGGTAACCAACAGACAGACACACTTCCGCATTTATAATATTAAAGTACCTAAGTAAGTAAATATGGAGTATCAGTATGGAGTATGGATTATAAAAAAATATTCTACATTTTCACAAGAAGCATCAATCAGTCATTTGAAACCAAATTAAATATATGACCTTATCTGCGGAAGGGTGGTGTACGTGGGAGATACTGGTCCCAATAAGAACGTGTCCATCGCTGTAGAGACAGACCGGCAGCTAAGCGACATTTACTACGTGTCCGACGCGCCTATAGACCACATCGGCGAGTCCGCGTACATGTGCATGCAGCCTGGGAAGTAAGAATATGACCGTTTTCTACCCCGAAGGGAGGAAAACGAGTATTTCAGGTCTTGCCTAGGCTTGACCTTCCGGAGATTACCCTACCTGTTCCTCATATGTGCAAGCGCTTGTAGTACCTACTTAGCTGGAGTGAGTCAGATAGGGTGGGGTCAGCGAACCCCGCACGAGTGCCGGCCAGGCGCGGTGCCGATCACGCGCCCGTGTCTCTTCAGTACCGAACCGGAACTGGGTGAAGTTCTCTTAGTAGTGATGACGGCAAGGGAATTGCTCCAGGTCAAGCCTAGGCAAGACCTGAAATACTCGTTTCCTCCCTTCGGGGTAGAAAACGGTCATATTTCAGTTCTGTGCCGTCGGCTTGACCTTCCGGAGAAGTGTTTCTATATCTGCCGGCACATAGGTAGCGTACTGTGACCAAAATGAATGTATTGTATTTTAATAAAACTATTTCCTGTACCAAACTTAAACTTTATTTCACGGAGGAAACGATCACAGTATAATAAACAGGAGAAATATATTATTATAACAGGCTTAATTATGTTCAATCACAGATAAAATAATAACTTAAAACTGATCCTTCAGTCTTCAACTTAAAAGATAATATTAAAATAAATCACTTCTTAAAACAATAATTAAGGAACAATAATGTTATAATCAGTCTTAACCATAATAATCTAAATAAATTCAAAAGACTCTAAACGGGTTCAAAAGTATGTAACAAAACGTTATCACCGTGGCGCGAGGGCGCCTTCACCGGCTTGTAATAATGATTGAAAAAATTATTAGCGCCTCACCAATTACCTCTCTTTAACAAATCATCTAAAGGTAAATTATTTTCATAATTGTAAGAAGCCACGGCTGACCGAATGGATCCTGGCGAAACTTCCAAACCCAATTTAGTAAATATTGGTTTTAGCCACCCAGCAATAACAGTTCTGGATGCCGGTTTTACTTTTCCTCTAGTGGTAATAAAGAGATTAGATAAGTTATCTGAACAAGATTGACGCCTAATGGCCGAAATTTCTAACAATTTTTTTATCAATTTTATTAAGTCTAACCTATCGTCGGAGTTTTTAAGAATTAGCCAGCCTGATTGTCTATGCTTATCTTTATCCGTTTTTGAGCCAAAAACTGGCCAGAATGTTATAGAATCATCTTTCATTGAACAATGCTTTTCATCAGTCCATAATAAAGTTAAGTCGTGAATCCTTCTACCTGAGACTAAAAGTAACATTAAAGCACAGAATCTGGACACTTGATATATACTATTAACATTTGGAGGATTACTTTGAAGCCAAGTAATTAAATCTTGTATATTCCAAACCTGTGGACGTGGTTGAATACGTTCAGCTGATTTTATACTAATAGCCTTTAAGATAGACTTTATAACAGGATGGGAACTGAAGCTATGTGACTCATTGGGTTTGGCGAATGTAGTAATAACCGATTTTCTAACTAAGATTGTATTATAAGCCATACCTTTAACACGAAATAGGTAACTGAGATATGTCGCTACTTGATAAGGCTCCGGGTTATTTGGAGTTACACCTTCATCTTTACACCATTTCGTCCAATCTTTCCATGCCGAGGTGTATGTTTTCCACGTCGAGGTCCTCCAAGCGAACTTTAGCAATTCGACATCCTCTGAAGACAAATCTTTGACTAGCTCATTCCACCCCGTACTCTCCATACCTCCAAAGTCATGCCCGATACATCCGGAGGCGGGCTGTTCGTTGCTAGATCTATTAAGTAAGGTTTCAGATTCTTGAATACCATGGGAGCCGCCGTAGCTCTGGTTTTGAGAGTCGTGCGCCAAAAGGCCTGTGTCCACCTGGGAACCACGATCAGATACGTTCCGCTGGCCTGATTGAGGTGTTTTATGACTTTGGGAATCAATGGAGGGGGTGGAAAAATCCATCCTAGGTCGTAATCCCACCTTTTGCTGAATGCATTTATGTAAACTGCCTGCAAATCCGTTGCGTCTATCGTCACATATTTGGGTACAACTTTGGACCGCGACGTCGCGAACAGATCTATCTGCGGAGTTCCCCATCGTTTAAAGACTTTTTGCGTCAATTCTTCTTTTAGATGCCAATCCGTTGCTAGAGAACTGCGAGACAGGCGATCCGCTATTATGTTGTACTTTCCTGGTATAAAGTAAGGAACAAGTACCGCGCTGATTTGCTTCGCAAGTAGGAGTATCCTTTTCGTCATTAGAAATAATTGGAGAGACTTTGTTCCTCCTTGGTTGCGCAAATAGGAAATGACTGCACGATTGTCTGCTTGAATCATTACAACCTTGTTCCTGACCACCTTTCTGAACTTTTTTAGAACTATATATACCACGAAGAGCTCTTTTAAGTTTATGTGCCATTTCCTTTGAGCTGGGCGCCACGTTCCCGAATAACGAAATGTCTCTATCTGTATGCCCCATCCCGAATTTGAAGCATCCGTTGTGACAAAAACGTTGGGTTCTTTTTGAAATATCGTGTTCGATTCCGATACATGAGCCACCCACCAAAGGCAATCTTTTAGTGCTTGTTGGGGCAAGTGAACAAATTGTTTTGGAATGTCCTCTCTTAGATTCCGACTTGCTCTTTGAAGCTGCCTGCAGAAAAGACGACCCAGAGGAATAACTTCCGACGCAAACTGCAGTTTGCCTAGCAGAGACGTTCCTTGAACCCAGTTCCAACGTTGTTCTTGAGAAGTTCTCTTTAGGATACTTAAGAGATCGAAAACTTTGTCTTTCGGGAGGCGTTTTGAATTTGAAATTGTATTGTAAATTATCCCTAAGAATTCGATTTCTCTTGTTGGATACGTCACTGATTTCTTCCAGTTTATTCTCCACCCTAACCTGACAAGGAGCTTTATTGCCTCTGTCACGTGACTTTCTAATGTATATTGGTTTTGGTGTGCCACCAGGAAATCGTCCAAGTACACGAGGACTCTTATTCCCCGATCTCGAAGTAAACTTGCCACCCAATTTGTAATTCTTGAAAACGCCCACGGAGCACTTGCCAACCCCATAGGTAGACAAGTCATTTGATAAGGGATGCCCCCGAAGCTGAACATTAGGAACCGTCGATGACTCTTCTTTACTGGTACATGCAGGTACGCTTGAGATAAGTCTATTTTGCACATGAAGTCGCCTGGTTCCAAAAACTCTGGTACTTTGGAATGATTTATTAGTCGGAAGCGTTTCGGCTTCAGATACAAATTCAGTCTTTGAAGATTGAAAATTTGCCGTTGGGTGCCGTTTGCTTTTTTGATTAGAAACAACTTTGAAATGAACCCCACTTGATGCGGCGACCTTTCGATAATCTTTTCCTTTTTCATGTTTTTTATTTCTAATGTCATGTCCATGGAGATTGGAGTTGCAAATTTTTGCATAGTCATTTTGCAAATGCGCGAAAGGGGAGGTTTTGTTATAAATGGTATTCCGTAACCCAAAATCATTTTTACAATTAACTCTGGTGCGCCCAGACACTGCCAACGTGGTGCAAACAGAGCAAGCTGACCGCCCGTGAAACACTTGTCAAAAGGAAGATGAATGTTTCTTTTGAGAATGGCGTTTCTTAATTGGTTGTGGTTTATTTCTGAACTGCCCTGTTTGAGGTCTTGGCGAAGACATGGGAGCCTGGGATTTTTCCCGTCGGTTTGTTTAGCTTTTCTCCTATAGTGGTCTTTCGGTTTTTCCTGCTTCCTTTGATTGGCGTAAAACTCATTACTGACTTTGAGAGGTCTTCTGTTGGATCGAAAGACACGAAATAAACCTCCTTGTGTATTGGTCAGTTCTTCAAGTTGTGCTTCCTCGAAAAGATGGGTTTCAGATGGTGGGATTTTAGATAACTTTATTGCCATTAACTCATTAGCTGGTTTGTAGAGTTTTCTTCGTAAGTCCAGTATTTCTGCCCTACGGGCACAGGTGTAGTGGAGAAGATCGTCCGATATTGTTTTGAAAGCCGATGTAGTACTTGAGAGGAATTCTTGCATATCACCCAACACATCCGGATATTTAGCTGTCAGCTTCTTTACTTGATCCGCTACTGCTTCTCTTTGTTTCAGTAGACCATGAGTAATAGTACCCAACGTGGTGTCCGCATTGATCAACAGATCAGCACTAAAACTCTTCTTGGTTAAATTTCCTATCTGGTCGTTGACCCTAAGGGCATCAAACACAGGAGCAACCCGCAATTTCTTTTGCACCTCCTTGTATCTTATCTTATTCCAGGAAGTAGAACCCAGCTTTTGGCAGGCCACTCCTTGCTTTCTTAAGGACTCTGATGGGCTTGGAATCAGGGGTGCCTCTTCCTTTACTTCAGGATCAAAATTTATTTCGTATGACGGTTTAGAACTGGTCGCCTCATTTGGAAGTGCGCACTCTGGAATGTGAAATACACTGGTAGTTTCCGATTCGTTCTCAGAGGGACTACAGTTCTCAATATCAGATTCCCAGTCCGTATCGGACTGATCAACCTCTCGTTCATTATTTGTATTCAAAGAAAAAGAAGTTGAAGCGGTCGGCATCTCTTGCCTCGACCTAACTTTAGCTTCCAAAAGACCAAATAGTCTATCCACTTTATCTTCTAAAATATTTAGTCTGCTTCGTTTGTTACAAATGGAATCCTCTTCCCTTTCTTTCACGATATCGTCCTCAGAAACCGGATGGAGCTGTCGGTTAAGCTCTATTCTTGAAAGTATTAGACGCCTTATAGGCTGGATGGCTTTAATAAACAACTCCGCTTGGGCGGCAGAACCTTTGACTTTGTTAACTATACTAGGTGGACTGATTATTAGTGCTCTACACAAGGCAAACTTTAATAATGTCACCTTTATTTCTTTGAACGGTTTCTCTGCAATGTACTCTACACCAGGGAGAAGGGTTTCCACACATTGCTTCGTCGGCAAAGCAAAACGTATTTTGTTTAATATTTGCGGATCAACGTCATCTCCAAAGAGTTGTTCCCTGGTGGGATTTTGAGTCTTCCAATTCTCCCAGCCACTAGGGAGAGTTTGACGCATTAAGAGTTTCACTTTGTCAAGTATCTTGTCCTCTTCTTCGGTTTCTCATGACTCCTCCATTAGCTCCCCCATCGTCAGATGAGTAGAAGGTTCCGCCATCTGGACCAATGAGGAGAAAGAAAAAATAATAGTTTAATTGTCATGTCATAAAGGCCCTTAACGTATAATATTCTACATTATAAACAATAAGGCTAGCCTCATAGTCTTAATGCTTCGAGTAATTAGCGAGTCACGTAAGATGCTGCTTCTCAGGTCAGTTGCTATACCCGAGCCGTACCCAGATGCGGGTGGCGAGCCGTATGCGGCTGCGGGTGGCGAGCCGTATGCGGCTGCGGGTGGGGAGCCGTATGCGGCTGCGAGTGGCGAGCTGCATACGGCATTGCGACTGTCATGAACGAGCCGAGCCAACCCACTGTGCTGTGATTGAATGTCATGAGCTGTTTAGAGCATATCAATCCTTAGGATGCCACACCCGTAAGAAACTTTAATTACCGAACCTAATCGGTTGCGGCGTAATTAATATCTGGAAGAAATTACACTATTTACACAAATAAATGATTACCAACCATTTTATCTCGTACGAGGAATAAAAGAGCAACTAAAAACAAATGATTGTTACGTTAAGTGAAGTAATTAAATTTATTTTCGCACTCTACATTTATTTTACCTTATAGATTCAATGATACCATCATTAACAGAATCCAAATAAAACTATCTAACTCACTCACAGCTAGAAAAGGGTGAAAATAAATTGAAACTCACCATATACACGTAACACTTTTTTCACATCAACGCACATGCACACACTTTGGAAACAAATAGCGTACTGAAGAGACACGGGCGCGTGATCGGCACCGCGCCTGGCCGGCACTCGTGCGGGGTTCGCTGACCCCACCCTATCTGACTCACTCCAGCTAAGTAGGTACTACAAGCGCTTGCACATATGAGGAACAGGTAGGGTAATCTCCGGAAGGTCAAGCCGACGGCACAGAACTGAAATGCTGGCTTCCTATAAACAAGCATTTATTAAGAACATATTCATCGCTGTGAGACTGACCGGCAGTTCAGCGACATTTACAACGTATGTGACGCCCCTGGAGACCACATCGGCGAGTCCGCTTATATGTGCATGTAGCCTGAGAAGTAAGAATGCATCCTTCCTATAAAGAAGCATTTAAAGAACATCTGCATCGCTGTGAGACGGACCTGCAATGACGTGTCCGACGCGCCTGTAGACCATATCGGCGAGTCTGCGTACACGTGCATGCAGTCTGGGAAGTAAAAATGCTGCTACCATTTTAGGGTAAGACCTGACTGAGCGGTATTTTCCCGCACCCTCCGTAGAACCGTTTTTTTTTCAAAACTCAGAAGACCGCAGCCGCCGCTCGTAAGTTGAGAAGATCGGACGCAGCCCGCTGCGTCTGCGAGGGGTCGGGACCCGCGCATGCCCGCCCCAGTGCAGCTGCGCGCTCAGCAGGCGTAAATTGCGGTATGTAATTTGCATTTGTGTTTTGCTTACAGTTTCCCAAAAACAGCTGAAGGATCAAATGGCACGCACAAAGCATCGGTGGCAGTTAGTAAGCACGAATTGTCAGGGTCGGGAGAAGGCTCGTAAGGGCGGGAGAGTAAGTACTCTGCTTGTGTGAGCTTTTAGGACGATTCGACGACGCAGGCAGTCGTGCTTCAGGCGTCTAATCGTCCCAATGAGCTGTACCTCCTTAATGCTACATCCAGCAGATCAGAAGAAATATATTTTCTGGACACTAAGCCTGCAATTGCAATCCCCTTTTTAAATGTTTGGGGTGACAACTTATACTCTTCCTTGAGATTTCAATTTCGTGATATCTTTTGAAGGTTTAAATGGCGTGCACAAAGCGCCGGTGGCGAAGTATCAGGCTCGGGAGAGGGCTATCTAAGGGCGGGAGGTGTCTACGTGCTCTGCTTGCGAGAGCGTTTAGGACGATTGGACGCAGCTGTACTTCATGCTCCTAATCCACCTAACGAACTGCACCTCGCTTGGATCGTGCCACAGTACTTGCTCGTCTCAGTCGCAGAGATAATGTTCGCTGTCTCCGGCCTTGAATTCTCCTTTACACAGGTGACATAAACTATCAAAATATTAAGGCCCTCACTGACTTAGAGATAACGATGCGGGTTGTTGGGTAATAACGATTAATTACTAATGAAGCTTGTGAGCTAGGTATACTTAGTAGGTAAGTGTGTAAAAGCCTAACGCCGAAATCATGCAACATGAATAACCAAAATTGTAAAGAAAAACATTATTCATCATCATCAGCCAATTAATCTAAAAACTAATCCTATTAATCTAAATCTAAAATTTAAAAGACATCATTAACTTAAAAAAATAAGTTATTATATACATACATCAAAAAAGTTTGAGATCACTTGCAAAAGTTGATATATTTTCAAAATTTAACTTAATCAAGAGAAAATGTTTACGTTATATCTTTTTTTATTTAAAAATACACTTTCTGTAATTAAAAAATAAAACTAATTTTATTTTTAGTATAAATAATATTATAATTCAATCCTAAGGCGATTGTTATAAAGCTTTGATAGAAATAAAAAGATAATTTAACCAAACTTAAAAACCTTTTATTAATAAATTTTTGTTTATCTAATACAGCGTAACTCCTCCTCTGGCTCGAAACTGCGAATGCGGAGATCCTCCTTGGCATGCTGAGGATCAAGTTATCCAGCATTTCTTGTGGTAACCTGTCCCATTCTTGAACAGCAGCTTCCCTGAGCTGCGGTACTGTCTGGGGTGCTGGCTGCCGGTTCCAGTAGCTCGCTTAAGAGCATCCCATGCGTGCTCTATTGGGTTTAAGTCAGGAGAGCCGGCAGGCCAGTGTAACCTTGTGATTTCGTATTCTCGGGGAGCAGCATTGACTCGTTGAGCTTGATGTGCGGGCGCATTATCGTCAACCAGTACAAATTGGTGCCCATGGTTTTCTCGGAAAGGTCTGACGATTCCATCAATAGCGACCATTTTGTATCTGTCTGCCGTCATGAAGCCTTGATAAGGTATTATAATCGTTTTAGCCCCAATCATAATAACCACCCCAAAAGGACACTGATTTCCCGCCTTGCTGAAACGTGCCAGTCGTCTACTTTCCGTGAAAAAATATTTTAAATTCGTTAATATTGACTAAGTCAGATTTCTGAATGAGCGTCAGCTTGTATTGAATATCTTTTTATTTGGAAAAACAATTGAATTATTGTATTGTTTTACGTTCTAATTCTAATTTTAAAATTTAGAATCTTATCATAAAAAAAATACAAAAAAATCTTCACAAAAAACAATCTATTTTTCAAAGTGATCGCAAACTTTTTTTGATGTGTGTAGATTTTTTATTCAGAATTCTTTAAGATTTCCCTTTTTTCCTTGTTACGGCTTAGATTAAAACAAAAAGCGTAGATACGGCACTAGCCTCACAAAAGTGATCCGCATGAATTGTGGTCCACGACCCTAATCGCTTTAGTCACAACTTGACATGCAAACGACGTACATGTGAACGCCCTAAAAGAAATAATTGATAATATTTTGTGTTTATATCATAAAACAATGCCTTATGTTTTTAAAAAAAAGCTCAAATTGCTCAAGAACTAAAAATAAAACCCACGGCATCACTTTTCTTTCGTAAGTACTATAAAATATATTTTTTCATAAAAATTGCTGTTTGTTTTGAATCTTATTCGGTAGTGACGTTGAGTACTGGTCGCGTGATTGGTCGGTAGTGCAGTGACGTGGATCTCGCCGTCTCGTTCGCGCTGCCGTTGTAACTTAACGTTCTGTTTCGCTCGGGTTGGTAATGCTGTGACGCGGATCTCGCCGTCCCGTTCGCGCTGCCGCGTCGAGGGATCAGTTTTTGTTTGATGCAAGTATGAGCGTACCGTATCTACCCTTTTTGTTTTAATCTATGTGTTACGGTTCCGAAACGACAAGAAGCCATTATTAGTTTCGCTTTGTCTGTCCGTCCGCTTAGCTGACAGTCTATTAGGACGTCACGATGACTATGGTAATAAAATTTAAATATTGTTTATCTATGCTACCTCCCTTACATGTACAAACACCACCAACTACCCATGGCCTGACGAACCTTCCTGGTAATTGTTATACAGGCCGAAGCAGCGGAAGATACGCTCGGAATGGCCTCCTCTGCGCGATCTGTCTTGATTCTCTACAAATTATTATTTATCTGTCTTTTGTCTGGTCCCCACAATCCTTCTGCCCTTCTAGGGCGTAAACGAAACGCCTTCGACGCACTGCACTTCATGCAGCCGTCCCGTGCCCGCACTCTGTAGTGGTACCGCTGGCTTCAAAACACAGACTTCTTTCTTCTCCTCTCTCGAGTTCACTCGAAATCTTGGGCCATCTAAGCGCGAAGCCCTGCTTGAAGTTCGCCGCTGATCCCACAAGGTCGCGATTGTAGAATGGTCCAACCTCGAGCACCTTCACACTGTCCAAAAGTTTTCTATGCACCTCCCTGTAGAGCTTACACTTCCAATGAGCGTGGTATGCGTCCTCTAACTATACCTCCCCACGGTAGCATGACCCTACTCCGCGAGCTTCATCTGGTAAAGCCAACTGAAACAGCCATATTCTGTCAGCGATTGCGAGATTTCATAGTCAGGCTCGACCCGAGTGATCTTGACTCTGCCCTCCAATTCCGGGGAAAACCGATGTAACTCCCTCCCCTGGTCCGATGTGTCCCAACGCCCTTGCCATTTAGCAAGGATAGACTAAGCGAACCCAAGTTTGATGCTCTGCAACGCCTCCATATTAACCGCGGACTCGCATGCCTCACTTAATCTACCCTCCTGAATTACCTCGAGGCGATAAAGCTCGTCAACCGGTACGCCTTGGACAGAAGGATCAAAGCAGATCTCTGGGTGCGCAGAAGTGGACTACGCACAACGTAAAGGGACGCTAGCCCATACCAATATGCCGCATCATATGTTAACGTGGCGATGTTAGTACTTAAAAAAAAGTTAAATTTCAAAAATCAGAAAACCCGCCAGCTTAAGTATTACTTCAAATAAAAACTGAAAAGAACAAGTGCAGTAGTCTTTAATTCTGTTAAGTAAGGAACAAAGCCAGGGGGCCAATCGCCTAACGGAAATGCTTTGGGAAACGCTAACGCTTACGATTTTATAGTGTTATTTCTAGCCGCCTGAGGTTTTCGAACACCTCACGCTCATCTTTTTTAATATTGTTATTACCAATGCAAAAGAAAAAGAAAGAGCGCGAGGCATTTGAATACATCAGTCGGCTAGAAATAACATAATAAAATCGTAAGCGTTAGCGTTTTCCAAAGCATTTCCGTTAGGCGATTGGCCCCCAGGACCCATTAGATATTCAAGAATGGATAAAAAATTTCAATAATAGGTCCCGACTGTTAAAGTATCTTTGTTCCTCACATAACAGAATTATACCGTGCAGTCTTGTCACTTCAGTAAGGGAATTAATATCGCGGGAATTATTAAGATTGATAAGACATAGAGATCTTACCAGCAGGGTCAAGGCTACGGATTGGCATAAATTTTCGTAAAAATGTGTGAAGTTAAATCAAGTCGTATGTATAGTTCTGCGCACTTTTCGGTCACTCCAGCTGATGTATTTGCAGTGCACACTGCACAGATTACGCTCCTCCTGATTACATATGTTAAACTTAAGAAGATAATTATAAAAATAACATTACAAAGCAGTTTAGTTAGGTATATTTAAACTAGGAAAAAGCTTCTTTGCTTCTTTTAAAGCTAAATAAACATAAAATAATTATAAACATTGCCGCGATGTAGAAAGAATCAGCGCTATCTATAATAAGCACTGATAGTAAAATTTTGTATGAAATTACATTATTGTAATTCTGCGTGGCATTAAATTGTAATAACTTTTGATAGAGTGCACCGATTTGAATGAAATAAAAACTTTATATTACCCAGAGACACACTCTATAAAATATTATTATCAATGTATTTCAATTAATTCAGTAGTTTTGGTTTGATGCACGAACAAATATACAGACAAACCGACAGGCAAAGGACAGACAAACAGACAAAAGTTTAAAATATGATAGGATTGTTTTATACTTAAGACCCCCAAACTATATTTTGCAATCTATTCAATGTACAGACACGCAAGGCTAACGTTGTTTTATATATGTATATATAAAGATAATTAAATTAAATATACAACTAAATATTATGTGAATATTTTAAGCGCCTACCTGTTGCCGTTATGAGACGCCCCTTAAATATTTATATATTGTTATAGCGTCAATAGAAATATATCATCTGTGAAAATTTCAACTGTCTAGTTATCTCGGTTTATGAGTTACAGCCTGGTGACAGACAGGTTGACGGACAGTAGAGTTTTGGTTATAGGGTCCCGTCTTTAAGCTTTGGGTACAGAACTCGTAGACAGAACCCTAAAATTATTTCCTTTGCAGGCACCTAAAAGTATGAAAACTATAACAATAGCAGCGTGGTACGTGTCAGTCGCGTTTGGAAATCTCATTGTCATTTTAGTTGCTCAGACGAAGATCTTTGAGTCAAGGGTAAGGAATGACAACTTATTTTATTAACACTTGACATTACAAAAGAAACTTGAGCAAGATACTGTTGTGTGAAAGAGAGAACAATACATATGTCATTCATCATTCACTCTTTTGTATTTAGTCGGTTGTAAGAAGAGGGAATGAATTTGAATTTGACTGTTATAATTGCCATCATGCAAAATAAAATCGTTGGGTTAGTAAACCCTGGCTTATTTTCTGTTCGTGCAAGATAAATTCTAAGTTAAAAAACTGTTATATTAAGTTATTTTGTTAGCTCAAGATTTACGTCCAAGTGGGCCTTATTTAGTGAACGTGCTAATTCGAATACGCATACCTCTTTTTATGCTGTGTTTCTGGTCTACTGCTGGTCTGTATGCTGATTGTGTAATTAAGTAAATTATAAAGGCGCAATTACATTTGGTCGGTAGCCCGTATTCGGGTGCAAGAAAGACATTCCTCGAATGCGGGAACCCGTAGCAATACTTACACTGGAATACGTGCTGGAAGACTGTGTCGGAGAACAAAAGGAAAATTTACCTGATAATGGGGAACTGACTCCGTTCATACGTTTTCGGGCTAACGATGACCAAGTGTAACCGCGCCATAAGATAGGTACTTGTCCAAAAAATTTACACAAAATTTGGTTGTATTGTACTTTAAGCTGTCAATATAGGTAGTCTTCAAAAATATTGTAAAAACAAATTTTATTATTTCTTTCTCGGTCCTCTGCGGTCGTCGCAGCAGGGCCACCGTGCGGGGTTTGAGGCACTCTGCCATCGACCGTTTCACCCCGTGATACAGTCGACGGCAGGCATAATTTTTTTTATGAACGCGCTAATCTCCGAAAATACTGGTCCGATTTGAAATATTTTAGGCTACCTTTATAACATCACACTAGGACCAATCGCATCGGAGCGTCGATAAAAAATGTTGCAAAAACTGGTAAAAATAGTTAGTCCGCGGCAGCATATGTCCATCTTTTAAGTTTGACTCACTATAACCTTTTTCCTCAAATTAACGAGGGTGAAACAACTGGAGAGTTGTGACATAACTTTATTTTTTAATATATATTGACATGTGCGTAGCCAGGCACGGGCCCCCCAGATCGAGGAGCTTCAGAACCAAAAATTACATAATAAATAATCCAAAAACTAAATATAAAATTTTTAAAAATTATAGAATCGCAAATCACTCTCATTAGTCTCGTTACTAAAGCTCTAATTTCGATAGGACTACTCGTAAACAGTGAAGTGATTTCGAACGTACGTTAAGCATTTCTTGGACGTAAAATGATGGATATAAGGATTTTTTTAAAGTCTGTAGTCTGTATAATATTACTGTGTGTACAACTAACAAGTATTAAGGTATTCTTAAAAATATAATTTTGCCGGGCAACTATGGCCCGTTTAGAACACAGGTTTAGAAGCATTATAAAAATAAGTTAACTTCGCTCTTGTTCTCAACACAACCCACCAACAAAAATGTTAAGTGTCCAGCGAAAGGTGGTACAAGAAAATTTACATGCAATTTCAGGTGAAGTCTTGAAACGGTTCTGCGAAGAACCGAGAAAATTGCTCTTGTTTATATGAAATTTAATTTTTGTAGCGAACATATTAGTTTCACTTGCCTGCCCCCCCCCCCCCCCCCTAAACTAAATCCTGGCTGCGCCCTTGTATATTGATGTTCTCTATAAAAATATAGTACATCATTTTGCTCTATATCAATGACTTCCGCAGGTATGGTATTTTTCTCACACATTGGGTTACTTTATCAAAGTTTTCATACGAATCCTAACTTTTTGAAAATACTCTATAAACTATGTTCATCAGGCATAAAGTAGGATTCTAAATGTTCAAGAGTTTTTCAAATCGGTCCAGTAGTTTCGGAGCCTATTCAATACAAACAAACAATCAAATCTTTCCTCTTTATAATATTAGTATAGATATCAATAGCTCTATTGATCTATTGACAAGTGCTTAAATATTTTTTTTTGTTTCCGAAGGTACTTTCTATGGTTACAACCTATTGCTGTATACTAAAAGATAGTGTTATTCCTCTATGGCCTTCTATAAGGAGGAGGGACTTCCCCAGACAAGCGCAATTTGAGCGGGACATTCGCTATGCCCTACCCTTCTCTATATCAAATATTCAGCTTTCTCTCTCAATAACAATAAAGAGATGTTGATTCAGGCAACGGAATTCTTTGTTTACGCTGCGGTGCTGACATTGGCAATGCTGCTGTTCCTACACATGGTGCAAGGTTATGAGACCAGAAGCATCGAGGCAGACGCATCTTCTTCGGAGAGTCGGCCTCTTTTACACCATCGATCAAAGGTATTATATCTTTTTGAAATCAGAATCCTGTAGGTGGTACTTCTCTTTTACACATATACCTCCCTTGGTCAAGAAATATTATGAAAAGAAACAAAAAATGTTAGGGATCACAAAAATACCTGCTCGGAGATCTCCTGCTCATCTCGTTCTTTCTTATCCCGAATTTGTAGAAGATGGGCTCAGCTTCTTCTTGAGGTGTTTTCATTGCGCTACGACTTTTTCTTTCATCTTCAAATGGTGTGTAAATGGGACACTTTGAGGCCGACAATGCATTAGTTACCTCACTTGTCTAGCACATGCCCATGGGCGACGACAAAAACCCTTTAATGGATGCAAATGGTTTGTGTTACAAACGAGATCATTGGTTATACACAACGTGTTTCACCCACGAGAAAAAATAAATTAAGTGCTATTAAAGCAACGGCGAAGCGAAATAATAAAAGAACGTTAAAGGAAATGCCATGCTCCCTTTTGTCATGTTTTTGGTACGCGAAGTACCTATATCACTTGTATTATCAATTTAGATTTTTGTTTGTGCTTGTTAATTTGGGTTTGCCTTTTAGGTGATATCGGTGCATTCGTTATCGACGTCGAGCACGCGCGGGTTCAGTAGCCGGAGCAGCGCGGCCTCAGTACTCGGCGCGATGGATAGCTCTAGGCAGACCGCGAGGCAGACCGCGAGGCAGACAACGAGGCAGACGGCGAGGCAGACCACGAGGCAGACAGCGTGGCCGACGCGAGCCTACGTGCATGTCGCCACGCCCAGCACCAGTGAACCGAGAGCCACGACCCTCGCCAAATAGTTGCCGACTTTTAGAGAAACACGATCCTCACCAAGTCAACCTCGCCTGCCTTTAAATCATTGACATAGATATAGACAATGACCAGAGCAAACACCTTAAACAGAGATAAAGTACTGAGCAAGCTCCTTAGACATCACTCTCATGTAATTTCATGTAATTGACAGCTTACTAGAAAAAGCGAAAATAGCCAGTACCTATACGATCTACAAGCACTACACTTACTTTTGTTTTACTTTAGATTTGGACAGGGAAAGCTCTGTTCATTCTATAAGTGACAATACCCATACGAAGTTTGGGTTTCGAGTTTTTTCATACATTTTGTATAGTATTGACGCAAACTAAGCGGTCGAGACGCGGCAAGTGGTTATTTCGTGGTCCTACTAATTAAATTAATTAATTAAGTTATTTCGTGGTCCTACTAATTTGTCTTACTAGTGGGACCAAGAGGAAAATCTATTCCTCGTAGTCCTATTTATATTTATAAATTTTCATATCCCCTAATGTCAAGTTCAAAGTAGTGAAAGGTGTAAAAAAAAAACTATATATTTAGAAATCTTTTTACTAGAAAAAATTCAACTCGGCAAGGTTTCATGTGGGACTCGGACCTGCGTCTTTCGCTGTCCGAACAATAGTATAGCGGTTTGTGCATCTGCCCGGACAGCGAAAGACGCAGGTTCGTGTCCTGCCTGAAACCTTGACCAAGTTGAATTTCTTCTGGCAATTTTTTCTTTAGATTTATAAACCGAGCAGAATTTAGAAATTCAAAATTAATTGAGGAAAATCTGGTGTGATTATACAGCAATAGGACAACGAGGAACTAGGCATTTAAAATTTTAATAATTTAACTCTGCACTAGGACCATGAGGAATAGGGCTTCCTCGTAGTCACACTAGCAGCACGAATTAGTAGGACCAGGAGGAAACGGCCCACTAAACTACAAGCGGTGTTTAGTGCCGCGATTAGTGGCCCAATGTGCGCACTGCGCTTAGTCTAAAAATCCATGATATGCCACTGCAGGCTTGTCCTTCTCCACGATACACATTTTTTTTGACCCAAAAATGTGATATCTGCTTTTTATCGAACATTTACTCAATAAGTTATTGCAAATGCATGAGTAGAACAACCGGGCGTCAATTCCGTAAAGTTAATAAAAAAAAACAATCTTTACATTTACGTGACCTCGAAGAAAAGAAAATCACTGAAAAAAATCCTACAAAGAAACCTATACGCGATTGAGTTTATTTGTATTACAGGCTTATGAAGCAATTCCTAGTAAGCACTGTACGAATGGTAATGCTTGATTTAATAGTATATGAATTTAACGTTTTGCAAGACTATGTCAGATTATCGAATTCGTCCGATTGTAGAGTAGTCTAAGACCGACCACAGTCTATAGTCAGTCATTTTTTGAAGTATCTTGTAATCCGTCAAATTGCATATCAAAAAAACTAATTAATAGTAATAAGTAATTTGACAACAGTGCTAGGCGTGTCGGATTACCTACGGGGGGCGTCGGATAAGACCGGGTCTGGATACAGGTCTGCTATATTTCTCAAACTTTATTAACCAAAATAAAAAAATGTACAAAAGCGAACTTAATATGCTTATAGCATTCTCTACCAGTCAACCTCTGTGAAGAACGACTTTAACGGAATTTTGTTATATTTAATATCTGTTGTTATTTTTATACCACTAAACAAACTTAAAGCAATAGTTGCTTTAAACATGCTCAGTTTTAGTAAGTTTTGATGAAAGGGCCTCCGCACCTTAAACAAGTTATGAGGTAGAATCAGCAAAGGTAATCCAAAACTAATTCGTCAAAAAATAAAATTCAAAGAAATTAACTGAGTTTATTGTTTTCATAAAGGCCTTAAAGCTCAACATTCAGAAATTAATAATTGTTATTGATCTTCGTTAGAGGATTCCTCTTCTGATACTTCATTTTCTGTCAAAACCCCACTGGCAAGAGATAAACCCGATTCATTTAACACCGAGTCGCTCATAAATGAATTTACTCTCAACATTTTTTTATTCACTTTTGCTTGTGCTTCAATTTTTACCTGGGCTTCTAAATGCTTCCTCATTGCCCGAAGCATAGTAACCTTTTTTTTCCTATATGTAGAATTGAATAAAAAATCTCTTATGTCAAAAACTGTGCCGTCCAGCTTCGCCAATTGTGTGTCTAACTCTAATGGAGAAATCTCGTCAGAATGTGGTTTCTCAACGTCAGGTAAACGTAGCCTAGTTTTGTTAAGCCACTGACTTAATAAATAAGCTTTGGTAGCTTCAAATATGCTCTCTAAGTGCTTTTTTGCTATTTTGGTTATAATAGGAACATTGTGGATAAGCCATCTAAAATACAAAACAACATTAGTAATTAAGTAAGACTTCATCATGTCAGAGTACCGATTTCACATTAACTACCGTCAACACGAGGTTATGGTTAATATTTATTGTATCCTATTTCCAATTGTTATGGGGTCGTTGTAGTAAGTATATTTTTCCATTCCCATTCACGTCAGATATTTTCAACTACTCCATATTTTTATTCTTATTATACGATCCAATCATAATTTCACATAACCTAAACATACCAAGATAAGCGATTCCGTCATTTTGGTCTCAGTACCTACTCGATGCTTGAAAAGAATGCTCGTTTTTACAAACATTTCCGTTACTGGAATTCGAACCCAGATTTAAGGCGACCACACCTTGAAAACCGGTTTACATAACACTTCACAACGGAAGTCGAAAAACATTATATTGAAACTAGTGGATGACCGAGATTTCGTCTGCGTGGAAAAATTGGTTTCCCATACAAACTTCTAAATTATCCTTTAAGTGCCTTTTCCATATTTGAAAATGGGCGCCTTTTTCGTCTTCGAAGTCGAGCAACTTTCGCTGGTCGGTCATTTGATGGGTGACAAAAAAATATTTTCTAGAGCTCCTTGCTTCGCAAGGCACGTTCAGTCATTGGTCCCGGTTGCATCTGCAGTCGTTAGCAGTTAGCACTCGCCAATCTGCACGGTGCCTGCGTGGTGGGTTGCGGCCTCATCCGTAGGGAAGACCTGTGCCCAAGCAGCATAAAGAGGCTAATGATGATATTGAAATTAACTACTTACGGCTGGTACACAGCCAAATTAGTATAAACAAGGGGCCGGTCTTGGAGGTAGCCACAGCCGAAGCCCCAGGAGAGGATCCCAGCCACGTTGGCGTCCACTACCAAGGGTGCTCCAGGCACAGCCATGCACGGACAGAGTAGATCCTCTGACCGCGCTACACCCGCACATATCATACCAAATTTTATCAATTTCTCCTGTTTAAACAGATTCAGGAATAATTATTGGTCTAATCAACGGACGGATATTCCGGACAATAGTAGGGGAGCTCAAGCGGGGATTTTTAGTTTTAATCGAGCGCAGCAGAATAGCATACCATACCTGAGCCCTTTATTCAAGGCCGAACGTCTAGGGCAGCAAAAATAAAATTTCAACAAATGGCCATGACTTTTGGGCGCGACCAAATCATCAGTCTTTTGAATAGAAGCTACTGAAGGGTTCTCGTAACGGTTCTAAGTTCTTCTAAGTTCTTTTTGTGTTCGCAAAAAGAACTAAGAAGGGCCTTGTGGGCGGGGCAGGCGTGCCACAGTTATGTGTGAGCAAATGCTCATAGCTTGACCAAAACTTGGTTCTGATTGCGTCGTTGCTCTCGGCTGTGAGCGCTGATTCGTTCGATTGTTTGATGTTGCGTCGTTTCATTGGCTATTATCTATTTGATGGAAGTGTGTGTGGGCGAACCGGCGACCATCGGTTCCCGTACAAACGATCACCCTTCTGACCTCTTTCTGTTCCTTGGTTCTAAGAATGGAAATAAATATTAGTCTGCCGGTTTGCATGGCGTGATGGAGGCCTTATCAAGGGGTAGAATATAGGAAAAAACATATTCAAGCGCGTCAGACATTGAGAAGGGTGTTACGTGAACCCTCCAGTACCTTTTATTCAAAAGAGTCATGATTTGGAAAGGAGCAAAAGTCATGGCCTTTTGTTGAAATTTCTTTTGCTGTCCTAGACGTTCAGCCGTACCTAGAGGGCAGGAGGAGCTATGGTGGGAGTTCTTCACAGAGTGCAAGGTTGCCCCCCATATATTATTCTGCCGCGCTTGAGTAAATCCAATAATCACCGCTTGGGCTCTTCTACCACAACAACTAATAATAATAATTCAAAACATGATCCCAGTTTTATAATATTGAGATCTCACTACTACAAGCTTCTGAAGTATGAAGGAGTTAGATATATATTATTTTTTTTACCTTAGAAGTCAGTGTTATGGTGGGATTTTTTTACGGCAATTATTACACTTTCACACATTCAAAGTTCAGTTCAAGTGGGTAAGCCTCGATTTTCACTCCAGTGCTAACGTTGGGATTATTATCATGTTCTTATATACATACGTAGTTACATACGAACGGTACCCTTAGCACGAACCAATATCGGATTCGAATAGTTTACGAGTGCGAAATGTTATTGTCAAATATTTGTCAACGAGATCTAAAAATCAGTACACATTCATATATGCAGTCAGTACATATTCGTACAGATATTGGTTCATGTTAAGGGTGCTGAACAGTGCAAGATAAATAAAAGCTTGTAAATATCGCTCGTTTAAGACAATCAGAAAATAATGCTTCTCAAGTATCCCTACGTATAGGTTATATACAACTGATGTACCAGGACAACATAACTCCAAATGAGATACTTATTTCAATGCAACCCCGATTTCACACTAGTGTGTCAGGGTTCCCATACGTAACACTAGTGTTATGCTAGTGGGTCAGGTAAAAAAATCCTCACCATAACATCGGTGTTACTGTTTAATGTGACGGTCGGTGTTTTAAACTATTAACTATATTTCAATGGAAACTTCCCGGCTGCATCTGCAGTCGTTAGCACCCGACAATCCGCACTTGTCCGCGTGGTGAGTCATGGCCCAATCTCCCTATTCTGTAAGGCCTGTGCCCTAGCAGTGGGGACATTAATAGGCTGATGATGATGATAGAAACTTTTTGTATATTTTTTATATGTCATTGTTTTGTAAAGAAAATAATATAGTTGTTTGTGATTGTGTCAAGTTCGCTCGTTTGATTTCAATAAAATTACCCAATAATTCGATTATTTCCATTAGTTTCATTCAGTTTTACAGTTCATTGTTAACAATCGAACGTGTAAAATTAACACTATACCAGAGTTCTTAAGATTGCTTGCACAATTTTCCTTAAAAGGACCCAAAAGATCATAATACCGTCACTTACTGGATAATCTTTGGTGCATGATGTGCCATTTATCCTGAACTTCACCGTTCTCAGCATAGGATCCATAATCTCATCGTAATAGAACTTACTAGAACGAGGTAAACACAACTCTTTCCCCTGAGAGATTTTTTTTTTTTATATTTGTGTACGGGTAATAAATATTTATTATGAAGTAAATATTAATAGATTTTTTTAATATTAATATTACGAAATAAACCTTGCAAAAGTTTAACACTATCTAGGTATATTAATAATTATAAATTCACTAACACTAACTTATTATAAATTCGAATGTCTGAATGTTGCATGTCTGTAATGCTTTTACGACAACCGCTGAACCGATTTTATTGTATTTCGGAATAGCAATAAAAGGATCCTCGAAATCTTATCCGAGATCTTTTCCGTTACCGATATTTGATTCAGTCCAATTTATAGGGGCAGGTATTTATTGTTGCGAAAATAAAACGTTTTGTATAATTATACCGTTTGTTCTCTAAATTAATTAATTGAGTGATGAGATTTATCTTTCTTCCTTCAAATGAGATTTGGTAAGATGTAGTTAAAAAGTTCTCTCAAAAGTATGCACTGTAAGGCTTGTGTAATGGGATACTAGAAATAAATACCTAGTAAAGTATACATATAAACAGCAATGACATTTACACTGGTTTGAATGTTCAGTGTTATGGTGGGTTAGTTCGTATTCATCATATAAACATTTGCCCCAAACATGGGACCTAAGTTAGCGACATCTTGAAAATTGGTGAACATACCAGCTTCCCTACGCATAAAAGTCGTATGAAAACATGCAAGCCCGTTTTGATTTAATCTATGCATACAAGGAATCATACCGTTCTGTCACATCGGCCCCAGCCCGTCACAAACGCTATTTCACCGTTTATAGATGATCTTGGGGGAGCCAGCATAATGTACTTCACACCGTACCTGAGCGGAACAACAATTCATATTACGTGCTTTCCTATTGAGTTAAAGGTCAGGCGTGACTGACAGGTATCCTCATTTAATAGCCTACTTAATTGACAACTGCTGTATAATTAATTATCTAAAGCGAACGAAAAGAGAATATGCCCTTGAGCGAACAAATTATTATGACAATATCAACGCATTCTCCTCGGATAATTAATATACTTACATTAGCGATGTTACTATGTAAACCTAAACTAACTGTTTTTACGTAGCTTTGTTTATTTATACGGTTTTACCAATAAATTTTATAAATTATAGATTTGACACATTCATAATTACATTTTTTTTGTAGAAAATCACTTTATCGGACAAAAATTTCAAAGTTCATGATGAACAACCTCAACATCATTATCAGCCTATATAAAACTGTAACTACTACCTAGAAACATGTACGTGTGGACTGAGTGATCTTTTCAAAAAACTCATCCAATCACAACCAAATTATAAGAGGATTTAGGAAATAATTGTGAAAACTTAATGGTAAGGTATAAAATTTGTGAAACCTAAACAAAGAAAGTTAGAACTAATTAACTGGATCACTCAATCTGGACACATGAAGAAAAAGCCATAACGCGTATCCAAGAATATACCACCTATGTGTTTATATTTTTGTATTTGAAATAATTGTGAAGAATTTGTGAAAGCTGCTAAACAACTTTTCGATTCATTTCAAAGCCACGTTTAAGATTTAGAACGGTTTATATGGATCACTCAGAATGCACTTTGTTCATTTGAGTGATCTTTTAAAACACTACCTTATACTGAAAAAGTATGAAACATTATCATGTTTATTATAAATTATGCTTCTGGGAAAATTTGTGAAACAAAGATCGGGATTGAAATCATACTGGTTTAAGAGAAAATGAAAATCTTGTTTTTTCTCGATCGTCCCAACTGAGTGATCCTTATCTTGAACTATATTTAATAAACCCAAACTTATAGGTAGAAGGTCCCAGTAAGTGTTATATTTTAAAAGATAACTCATTTTTTACTATCCTCAAGGAAACCGTTGAGTAGGGTACTTGTACTTTTTTATTTTGTCGGATTTATTTTCGACTACCCTATTCAATGCTAACATTGTGTATATTCATTGCAATTTGCGAAGCTCGCGGCGTTGTGCAGTGCATTTAATGCAAGTTTGTTTATAGATTTTTTTTATATAGATAGGTCCGGCAAATGACTCCACCCTACCTGATGTTTAGTGAAGGTAAAGTCCAGATGCGAAGATAGCAGATACAGCAGTTCTACCTGCCACACCAGCCATCTTCACCCTGCCAGCCTGCATGTTGCTTCTTCACGCCTCTTTTAAAGGGTCCCAGGTTGTAAGAGGGAGGGAACACGTGAGCGGGCAGAGCATCCCATTTGCGGATAGTGCGACAAAGAAATGAGTCACCAAATTTCTTTGTACGCGTTGGAATTGTGGCCACAGTTAGGCGGTGACAACGTAGGCCAGCGCGCGTGGTCCTCTGAAGGAAAGGGGAAGTCGAATGAGAGAGAATAACTCCTCAGAACACTCGCCGTGGTACAGACGATAGAACGCGCTTAGTGACGCCACGTCACGGCGTAATTGATAATAGGCGGCGTAATTGATATAAAAGGTAGGCGTAATACCTACCTTTGCTAAAAATTTGTCACTTAAAACGTCATTTTATGTTGAAATTATGTATTAAGTAGTGAAAACACTCTAAAAACATCTTTAAAACTTCTAAAAATAAAACTTACACAACTTTCGGTACTCACGTAAACCGATATGGTCACCCTACTCAACGTTTTCCTTAAGGATTGTAAAAAAATGAGTTATCTTTTAAAATATAACACTTACTGGGATTGGTTCGTCAAATTTTAGTACAACATTTTTCACAATTTCTGATGTAACTACCTTCTACCTATAAGTTTGGGTTTATTAAATATAGTTCAAGATAAGGATCACTCAGTTGGGACGATCGAGAAAAAACAAGATTTTCATTTTCTCTTAAACCAGTATGATTTCAATCCCGATCTTTGTTTCACAAATTTTCCCAGAAGCATAATTTATAATAAACATGATAATGTTTCATACTTTTTCAGTATAAGGTAGTGTTTTAAAAGATCACTCAAATGAACATAGTGCATTCTGAGTGATCCATATAAACCGTTCTAAATCTTAAACGTGGCTTTGAAATGAATGGAAAATTTGTTTAGCAGCTTTCACAAATTCTTCACAATTATTTCAAATACAAAAATATAAACACAAAGGTAGTATATTCTTGGATACGCGTTATGGCTTATTCTTCATGTGTCCAGATTGAGTGATCCAGTTAATTAGTTCTAACTTTCTTTGTTTAGGTTTCACAAATTTTATACCTTACCATTAAGTTTTCACAATTATTTCCTAAATCCTCTTATAATTTGGTTGTGATTGGATGAGTTTTTTGAAAAGATCACTCAGTCCACACACACATCCTAGAAACTCTTTCTACTTCGGAAAGCTTGGTCGTAGTGCTTCAGCAATTGTTAATACCCACCAATCTGCGTGGTGCCAACAAGGTGGGCTATGGCCATAGGAAAGGCCTGTGCCCAACTATTGGGGACATTAATAGGCTGTTGATAATAATCGATAATTGATTACTGAACGCGTCACTGCGCTATCGAACGCATCCCTATTCACGATTTCGTTAAAAATTGTAAATTTTAAGGAATTAAATTTTAATAAGAGATAAATAATAATGAGTAACTACTACCTTTTATACATGGCCCACTTGCAGCAAATTTGGTAAATCTCAATTCAAGTAAAGCAAGATTTGACTCATAGAAAAATGTTAACACGTCAAAGTCAATTTGACTTATTGTAGAGGCTAATTCTAGTTTTAGTTAAATTGTTATTAGCAAAATTGCTGCAAGTGGACCTAAAACAATAAAAATAAAATAACTATATACATTCTCTTATGTCTAATGCGTATTTATTGGAGTATCTTTTAGTATTTATTTTAAGTAGATCAGTGTTTACTTTTAGCAATTTTTGTATATGGCGCATACTAGCGCAGAAATATGCAAACTAGCTTTTTAGCTGAGACTTGCCTGTAATCTACTTCCTCGTAGATCATAAGAAGTGCTATGTCTGCTTCAAGAGTACTAGGTGTGAAGTTCTCATGTATAAGCACCAGCACGACAGTATGAAGAACAGTGCCGCGGTCATTGTAGTTTTGTCCCGTCACTACTTGCAGATCGGCGATAGGCACTCTGAATTAATTAAAAAAATGTGATATATTAATAACATTAATAATAATAAATATAACTCACTATAATAACTGTGTGTAGAGTTCGGTTAAGACAATAGCTGGAATTTTCATTAGGTCAACCACCCAAGTCTTACTAGCTAGACCTTATTCTTATTCTTAACCCTATAGAAAACCCTAGACAAATAAAATAAGTAATAAAACATTATCGATTACCCCTCGTTTACACCAAGTTGAATGATTTAAACAGTCACAAAAAGTACTATACAAGTGTTGTGTTAATAATAAGTATTTATTTGCTCCAAAATACATGTACAAATACAGTTAAAATCTGACATTCCAACTTTTTTTGGGAACAAAAGGGAAAGTGACTCAGCCTTAGACCGCCGTTTTATCGGAAGTCGCTGATATTCTGCCACAACCTTATTTAACTAATACATGCTCCATTTTGAAAAACCAACATCCATTATTAAATATGTAAATTAAATACAGGTTTGGCCGCAGTATACTGTTTAAATAATAACTACAATTTACATTTATTTTTAAAATTATATGTTGACATGTTAAAGTAGTATATGACTTGTTTCTATGTTTCAACAAGAGGTAACGTTACTTGGTTTCTTTAAGTAAATTTATGATTTTAAAAAACAAGTTTCAACTGTATAGGTGCACTGAATTATTTATTTCTTGACGATTCGCACCCTTTTCAGGCTGCGTCGTCAGAATTATTATGCGAAATTCAAGAAACATATAAATCAGTGCAGCTATACCGTTGAAACTTGATTTATTTATATTATTTAATTATAAAGGATGATTATGTTATATTTTTGTGAAATGCACCCTATTTTTAACAGGATTTCCGTTGTGCCTCTACTAGCAAGCACAGAACAAAAAACTATCTGGTAGGTACATGTAAGGTGCCGCACAAAAGCTTGCTTTAAAGGTACTGCAACGTGTTCCGTGCTAAATGAAAGGGAGTTGAAAGATATAAGGTATACATACGTAGTTTACGCATATAGCCCCTTATTAATAAACGCGGAGTAAGCTTTGACTAGTTACACCGTGTTTTGTTCCTATCACTCAAATGCCATTTGTCATTCAATGAACAGAGACAAAACATGAAGTAACAAATCCAAGCTTATTCTTCGTTTATTAATAAGGGGAGTGTGTATTAACATTTATTAAATTAAATATACTTACAGAGGCAGCGTTTAATCATGGGTCCCACGTTATAAAATTCAGTATAGGGGTTCACCAAGTGAAAATTAATTTATTAATTATTATAACTGTGGGATTGTATGTGTGTTATATGTGTATGACGGAGAGAGATTCTAATAACTTTACAAGATCTTTTGGATGCATTTAAGACATATACATAACTTTGCCTGCTTCGTATTGAGCCCTGTAATGTTTCCTTATACACAGTTTTGCTTATAAATTACAATTTATTTAATTAAATGACATCATGAATGTGCATAATCAAAGGTCGAATGTTGTTTGAACTACAATAGTGGGTACTTTAAATACTCTCTTCTGATTTAGAGAAGTGTAGGCAATCGGGGGAGATGGTGACAATGCATTTAAGGTATATTAATCATTCTTACTCATAGATTGGGTGGGCGACGGTGATAATTATATTCTTGGTAAGAAGAGTGCCAGTGAGATAATGAGAGAACTGTCTGCGAATGCTAACGATGTACGGGTGCTCCCTAATTGTAACTCGCGCTCCTCGAAACACCTTTAATATAAAATGAGTAAATTACATCAACAAATCAAATGTGTTAAATCAGTAATTTTCAGGCCCAATTGCGCCCTTAAAGTTCTTATATCAAAGAGCGCCCGCACATTGAGCCACTAGTCGCGGCCACTAAACGCGACCACTAGTGGCTCAATTGCTTTACTGAGTTACATATATACTATGAAGCCACTAATTCCAGCCGTTAGTAGCGTGGCGGCCGAGAAGAAGCCGTCTCTTTCCGGCTACCAATCGAAAGCTACCAATGAAAAAAACATCCACAGCTTGTGGTCGCGTTTAGTGGTTCAATGTGCGGTTGCGTTTATTCTATCCCTAATCGACTTTAAGCAATCGAAAGATGGAATTAAGACGTTGAACCGGATTTATTTAAGAATGTTGGTGCAAGTGGCCCGTAATGGTTTTGATTGGCTTTTATTTAATATCAGCAGTGCTTCAATTGTAAGTACTAAATTAAAATTATTAACAAAATGTCTGTTACTTACTTTCCTATTAAGTATCGGCATACCATAGTTCCTTGGAAACGATGTTGCTTCAAAGAGACTTTCAAAGTAATTAATGAGGCTATCACCAACAATATTAATCGTAGTACTGTCAACTCCCACCGCTGTGACATTATAACCTGTTCCTGGTTCCTCATCATCGGTTGTAGCATCAACTTCTCTTTCTAAAGTAGTTTTAATAGATTTGGTTGCACCAAAACGACTTTTTTCAATATCACCTCTATTAACCTTTATATACAGCAGAACTGAAAGTAGAAGGTTATTTTTTCTGTAAATATCTTGGCTATTATGAATTAAAATAAGAAGGCATGTAATGCTTTCACAAACTCATAACACTTTCTACGTATTTTTTTACATATTTAAAAATAATGATGATGATCTTAACCAAAATAAATCTTAACTCATAAACCAATTCAGCATGATATTATTTTTTTTTATTAACCTGTAGGTAAGTAGATTTTAGAATTCAAAAAAATTATTGCAAAGCTCTGTTGCATACATTACATATAACCTAAACGTACAACTGATGGTTTTTTTTACAGAGTTTCAAACAATACATTGGATTTACAAATGGATTTCAGTAAAAGTAGCACGTCCATTAGAATAAACCTTACGAGTAATATCCTAGACAATGTGAAAATTTTTACTTACCCAGTAAATTTATTAGCTTCATTTTCATCTACAAAGTTCAAGATGGTCACGAGAATCACAGTAAAAATAATAATTAATGTACATTTTCACCTATCTATGTCTGTGATTTTCACGAACAACTAACCACCAACTTTTTGAATTTTCTGGGGTGTCTATCCAAGCTAACTTTTAAATTAAGGCTAATTAATGCACACCTGACCTGCCTTAAATCCAATAATAAGTTAAACAAGGGAATTCCGCAGTGATAAATAAATAAAAAATAAATATTTACAATACTCACCAATTAGTCTAGCCCTTAAGTAAGCACTGTAAGGCTTGTGTTATACATTCATAAGTATATTTATTTGACGACCTCCGTGGTCGAGTGGTTTGTACGCCGGGTTTCATGGTGTCACCGACTCGAGAGGTCCTGGGTTCGAATTCCGGTGGGGGTAGATGTTTGTGTGATGAATACGAGCATTTGTACTCCAGTCATGGAGGTTTAATATGTATTTCTATATAAAAAAAATATACTATTTATTATATTGTATTTTAAAACGCGTATTGCATCGTAATAATTGTTTCAGGAAGTATAGCATAAAATGTCAACATAATTTAAACAACAAGAATAATATTAAGAATTTCACATCATAAAACTATGAAATACACTAACTATAAACAAATAAGTCTCTATCTAATTACATAATTACTATATATAAGTAAAATATAAATACTAGAACAATAAAACTAAAACTAAAAACCTTAAAACATAAAATTAATAACTAAAATATATTATTAAAAGTCGTCGGAGTCCCTTTAGGCAAGGATCCGAAGATACCGGCAGCGTTACCTCTTTGAATGGCTAGACTAATTCTTTGTCCGAGGTAGCTGCCAGCTCTTCGGTCTCCTGTGACGTCGACTAACCTTTTTGCTATTTCCTTAAATAGACGGACCCCCCACGGACCAAGAGTCTCGACACCGAATGGGACAAAATCATATTCGGAGCCTAGACCCCTTTCAGCCGCTTCACAAGCCGCACCAGCTCTGTTGTTGGTTCCATGTAGATGGGAAGGGGCCAGCGTGTCTGAACAGGTTGCATCCCATACCAGCACCCGACCCATCTTCCATGGAATCAAACTCATACCGTCTGGTCTCTTGCCATCGTCTCTTGCAATACCAATCGGCTCAAGTAGACTTGGCACGTTGATAGTGGCAAGGGACCGGCGTATGATATCATTAAGTGCGGCATGTCTCGAGAAGCGGCCTGCACTTTTTTGGCATGACAGTCCGTGATTTCCTAGCTTGTCGACATCACTGCCACAGTGACATTTATGAGGAGCGCAGACCGGGACCCCAAGCCGTAGACAGGTTGCGATTCGGAGCGTGTCAGGCTCAAGAAATGTTCCTGTATTTGACGAGGGGTACGCGTGAAGCCAGTAGCCGGCCTCGTGCGCATCCACGGCCAAAAGCCTAGCACGCGCTGAACCTGTACTACAGCTCAAAAGGTTATCAATTTACAGTTTATGTCATCCCAGCTCCTCTGTGAATTTGGAGAAACTGGAAAATTTTGACCTGGGCATGCAATTAAGAAAGCGTTTCTAGCTTCTTCCAAGCCAGCAATCTCAAAGTTTGAAGGGAATGCCCCTAAAATTTTACTTATGAGATTTGCTGAACTATGGACAGAAGATAGGAAGGCTGGTAAAGCGACACTGGAAATTTTGCGAATCCCTAAATCACCATATCCCTATTTACCGAATTGAATGCATTTTTGACATCAATTTTGAGCAACACGTCAGGCTGTCCGTAAGTTAAGAAAGAGCGTAGGGCACGGACGGCTGCCTCACATCCTCCTTTTACACCAAAGCCTAACTGTACGGGTTCAAATTCCGAATTTAATTTTGGTAAAATATGTCGAACAGCAATTTTGGAGGCCAGACGTCGTAGTGTTGATCCAACAGCAATTGGTCTCTCCCCTCCGTCCTTTTTGGTGAGGGCAATGAGGTTCGCGCCGAAAAGAATGGGAACAATTTCTTGATTGACATTACCGGAATACATAAAGTTGATTGATTTTGTGATCGAATTTATAAGTTGCTTTCCTGCATCACCCACAGAATCCGACGTTAAGTCTTTCAAATGTTGGGGTGAGATTCCATCCAAACCTGCAGCCGAACCTGGTTTAAAAGAAAAAATGGCATCTTTGTTTTTAATTTGAAGGCATGCTTGTCCTGCTGTTGGTGGATCGAGAAAATATGGGTTTACTGGAGCTGGGGGATGTTTTGTCCTTAAGGCCTGAAGGGTGTCAGGGGTATCTGGTGATAGCACGTCGTTAGATAACAAAAGGCGAGCGGCACCTTTGAGATCTCCGTCACAGATTTTGTTTTCAATGAGTTTGATGCGATTCCGAGGGGCATCGTGTTTGATTAGAGGTGCGGGAGAAGGCAAGGAGCTTACAGCACAATTATTCTTGATATTTTGTGTTAAGGATAAATTCAGTTCATTAGTTTTTAAGATATGTACATAGTGTGCTGTATGAAAATAAAAATAGGTTCTGTCAGTCTTGAGAACAATTGCTTATGTAGCATTTCTGAATTAATTGTGATAAATGTGTAGCAACAGTTATTCGAGCTCCTCGAGGGATTCTTTTAACTATGGGTACACTATTTTTCAAATGGCTTAGATATGTGTGGAAAGGAGTTGGATCGTTGGCTACATAAGTAGGCCCACTCGGAATAATGGGATGGATGTCTAAAGGTGAACTATTTTGGCTAATAAATTTCCTGTGTATTTTTGTAGTGTGCATGTTGAGGCCTTTCAAAGATTTGAATGATTTGTGGCACTGTGTACATGTACGGGTCGTGTTCGACGTGCCATCACAAGATTGGGTCGCGGACTGCATTCACAAAACATTCACAAAAAAGAATAACTTAAAACACAATAAAATAACTTGAAAAGTGCACTGAAAATAAAAAAAAAGTCAAAGACAAATATGACAGATGCTTGTTATGATAATAACGCATGCGCCGTTACATAGGTGCGTCACAGGATGGTCTTAGATTGGACACAGTGAAAGAGAGAGACCTAGCGACGCATGTCGTCGCTAGGACAACCGATGGCGGCCTTAGCAACCGCGTCTTCAAATTATCACACGCGGGTCAGAAATTTTTAACCGCTGAACAGGCACTGTACTGTGGTGGAACAACAATAAAATCCCCATGTACACATATGAAAAACAACTTGATTTACTTTTATATGCAGGTCTGAGCCGTCAGTAAATTAAAATGGTTTAGAAATTAATATTTTAAATGACCTGAGCCTGCATGTCACTATGTTTTTTTTTAAATATACTTATATTACATATGTACTAATATATGTATTCTATCCGTTACCCTAGTATCCCATACATAACACAAGCCTTACAGTGATAACTTTGGTGCTAGGCTAATTGGTGTGTGTTGGAAATATAAAAAAAAAAGAAAATGAAATACGTATTAAACATACATGAATGGAGAATAAATGCTCGTATTCATCACACACACAAAAATAAACATGAATTGAATACCTACATTTTAAAATCGGGCAGCCCAGGCCACTAAAGATTAATAAAATCAAAATATAGGGCCGTAACGAATGCTTTTGTATGGCTTATGCCGCTTATAAGAAGCTTTCTTCTTATAAGAAGAATTAGTTTGTTTCGCGGCACTTCCTTTAATATTCTTTCTGTAAGAACCTTTAAGTATTAGAAACCATTAAAATAATGGATGAAATCGGTTAAGTAAGCCGTTTTCAAGTTATGGTGTGATTAAGGTATTTTTTTATAAAAAAAAAACATAATACATAATCCTTTAGCACGAATGAATATCGAATTCGAATAGTTTGCGACTGCTAAATATCAATGTCACATTATGTATGAAAACTTGAACAGCAGCGCCACAACGGACGTAACGTAAACTAAAAATCTGTACTCATTTGACGGATAAAATAGATCGAATTCAACTATTCGAATCCGATAATGGTTCGTGCTAAGGCTAACAGTACCCCTAGCACGAACCAAAATCGAATTCGTAACGTTTGCGAGTCCGAAATATCTTGTCAAATGTGTACTGATTTTTAGTTCCCGTTACGTCCAAAGTGGCGCTGCTGTTCAAGTTTCCATACAAAATTTGACATTGAGATTTCGGTTTGCAAACTATTCGAATTCGATAATAGTAAAGTCAATCTGTCGAAAAAAAAATCGTTTCCGTGAAAAAAAAAAACATTTTTTTGAGTTTTTAAAAAAAAACGCCTACGAGTTGAACATGCCCATCGCCAAGGTGGCTTACTGACGTCACTTGGCAACAGAAAAAACAAGACTTACCCCTAGGTTTTTTTTTCACCACTCAACCTACAGATTGACTGTACTAATAATGGTTCGTGCTAGGGGTACAGTACCTTTAACTTATACGTAACCTAAATTAATCCAGTAATTTTGTCCAAAACGTGACAAATAATAACGATCTCCTGAAATCCGGCACATCACTAATTAAACCAATTTTAGTGCCTTTCATTGCTTGCTGATTATTTCAGCAAATGTTGGTATTTAGCTATAGTAGCTCTCGTGAAATATTCGCCCATGAATTTGACGATATGGCAGGCGCGGTCCGAAGGGGCCCCCCCCTGTCACCCCCCGGTCACAGGGGACATGACCCCCCCAAAAATCTAAGGTCATTCTTGACATTTGGTACAAAGTAACGTCTTATAGTACAGATAAAGAAAAAATTGCGAATACCGTGAATTTTTGGTTACAATAATATTTTTGAAAATTCAGGTGTGTACGGAACCCTCGATGCGCGAGTTCGACTAGCTCTTGGCCGGTTTTTTTTATTAGTGTAATGAGTGACCCCCTACAAAATTTCAGGCTGCGACCGCGCCTGCGATATGGGGATATCGTGTACGGGAAATTAAATAAATACAAAGTGCTGTAATTCTTACAGTTAAACTTTATTATTCTTCATTTTATCATCGAATCAGGTTCATAAATTAAATAGGTACATTAGCATTTCAGTATACTGAAACATAGAAAAATAACAGTGTTAATTAGTGCGATTATCCGGTTTATTGTAATTACTTTGAAAGTGCTTTGAACAGTCCGAATTGGGTTTAATGAACCACTATTCGGTAATCTGACTAAAGATTTACCGATTACAAGTAATTAATTCCATAGAATTATTAGATGTTTATGTAATAACAACTAATCGCATAGTTAATACCAAACTATAAGTGGTATGTAACATATAAGCTAATCAAATTAATCATGTAACCATGTTACAAGCAATGAATCTTAGATACGAGTATGTACTTAAAAGTTTATGATTGTATAAAGATGTTGCAGAAAAATAATGACAAAAATTGAAATATTTATGGAAGGTTAAGCTATGACAAAACAGCGACGAAAACAACATCTAGGTTCATTAAAATTTCATTGTATCCCTTTTCATTGCCAATATCGGTTTGCACGGTTTATAGTGTTTGAGTCAAAATCAATATTTCAAAATATAGGTACATTATGAACGTACCTAAATGTAACTGAAATTTCAAAATATACATCCATCAATAACGCAAATGCCCTAATGCCGTTTTCGTTACTATTATTTTTCGTAACTCCTACGAAAATGGAATGTAAATAAAGTAAGCTTGTAACTTAGCATCAGAAGACTAAAAGAAATAATATGTCGACAGAAAACAAGAGTCGACATTAAAATCAAACACTTTTTTATAGATTACTACCTATGCTAATACACCCGTAAATTCTAATTACATAACATTGAAACTTATCAATTGCAATCTTCAGTCTAACAATTACTTTCCTTTACGTCAATGAAATGGAGAAAATCCTAGGGAGTTTGGCCAAACGGGGATAATTATTAGTCAACAGAATAACATTTCTCAATGTTACTGAAAAGTTCAATCTCGAAATAATAGTTGGCTAATTATAAAAAATCTTGGATTTTAGCTTCTTGGGTTCACAATATTTTACGTTAGAGTTGTGACCAAGAGTGTGCCGCGTCAATGCCGGCGAAGCGCTAGGAAAAATCGCTAACAGTAAGATTATCCAGAAAGTTTTTCGCGAAATCCTTAGAATTTTCTGGAAAATTCGATTTATCATATCATCCTGCGACAGTTATTATTCTGTAAGTTGCTGATTTCGCAATACGAATACGTTTTGCTGGTCTTATTAGTTCTACTTACTACAAATACAGTTTAACTTATCTCTTCATTTGAAAACATGTTTCAAGAAAAAAAAAAAATCTTTTTATTTAGTTAATGGAGTACGATATAAATGAATTTTACGTTCAATATAAAATTAAACTTTTATTATAACATATGCTTTCTTTTGGTGACTATTAGTTAAATAAATCAAACAGTGGAAATCATACATAAAACAGATGGTCTAAAATTTGGATGAATCATTGATGGATTAGAAAAGAATGTAATTGTTCTCAACTACATTTTTTAATAGCAGGTAAGTAATTTGGTTGTTATTCCTTATTACGTCTGTAAATCTAAGTTAGAAAAAGATTGATATACTTGCTAACCATTAATTACGTTATAAAGTTTTATTTTTTATTTTGGCCAAGTATTTGCTTAAGTACTGGAGCATTATTTTAGGATTTTTTGCAATTTTTTTGGCACATTCAAAATATATATACAAACATTCAGAATATTTTCATAATATGTAAATAAATAAATAATTTCAATTTTAACCAAAGTGCTTCAGCATTTCTCTTCTTTAAATTAGCAATTAGAGCCATATTCGTGATAGAAACTGCGTCAGCTTTTCTGTTCTGTAAGTTTTTTATTACACCAAAATGTATCTATTTTTAAACGCTTAATTACTTTGAAGACTCACATTCATTGATTTCTTTGTGAAAAGTTTTATTCCGGAACCTAACAAAAGAACTAAAAATAAAACACCAGAAATACATTTATATAATGTTGTTGCAATGTTAATGTATATTAACAATTATTTTCGTCATTGAGTTTTTATTTTAGATTTGCTTGAGTATAAGCAGTATTTTGTTCTTACAAATCAATAATAGGTATCTTAACAGAATCATTTCGATATTATTATGTTTTACTATAAGTATCAGAAAATTAAAACAAATTTCTTTTTTAATTAAATGTAGGTATTTAATTAAAAAAGAAAATTGTTTTAATTAACAACTTATTTACAACAACTTTGTATGCTATTCTAATAATAAGGTGACAATGACGATAAGGATAATAAAACAGTATCATAGATATTATGAGGATTGCGAATATTATAAATTAATGAATTTCTACAGGTACAATTTTTATCTAAACAGAATCTTTAAATACCTTAGCATTATATGCATCACAAATACGTATATCTACACCAAATAACCTATCATAATAAAACATTTATTTTCTTATTAAATAATTACTAGAAGGTTAAGTCTCAAACTGAGACTAAAAGAGTGGTCTCAAAGAGTGTTCAAAATATTATTAGACAAATAAAATTAATAAAAAGCGATGCTTTTTCAAACCTGTGGACTACCTACAATTCTAAATGTGTGTAGCTTGTTAGTTACACACATTTAAACTACGTGATACACAGATAGAAATGTTATATTTATTTAAAAATAAAAAATATTTTTCTGGTGATAAAAGTGTAAGTGAATATTTTTACCGTTATATTTATAGTATAAGGAGAAATAGGTAGATTTAGATTGATTCAAAGTTATAGTAGACGGTCCTCAAAAGACAAATCCTAAGAAAATCTTGACCATAAAATTGTCTACACTGAGTAAATGGACATAAGTTTGCACTTTTTTTTTGGGTTTTGTTATTTTTGTGTTATTCAAAGTCTAATTATTATAATAAAATATGGTAAGATTAAACTCCAGCAAAAAACGGTACTTCCTACCATGCATATTTCTAATCTCCGTCTACCAGAAAAAAGTGGAAAGTAACTAATTTATCTTTGGTATGAGTCAGACATTATATTTCCATTATATGTGGCTACAGTAATCAATGCATAAATACGGATTGCAGATAATTCATTTAGGAGCAGCCGTGTCGGCGATACATGCGCATCTCACTGGTGGCGACCGCAATCCATTCGTTCCGAGCGGAGTCAAACCACGTGAGCCCAAGCGTGTACTTGCCGTTGATATTCACATGTTGGCAGTGAGAGAACCACCATCCACCCTCGTAGTTGCCAGCGCAGTGGGTGTTGGAAATGTCACGATCCCGATCTATGGCAGAGAACTCCATGTGGTTTTGGTATTCGAAAGCATCGCTGGCGTTGCCCTTAAACCCGCTCACGTCCAGAACGTATCCGGTGTCAGCGCTGCCGACGGAGAAGTGCTCGTACTGAGCGTACCAGTATCCACCGTAAATATCTGTCATGTCGATACGCATAGAGGAACAGTTGTCGGCGGTGAGTTGGTGCATGGACTCGAGACCTAGCCAGTATTCAGCAGCTGCGTCGCCAAAGCCGTGGACGTACTCAGAGAATTTCCTGTTGAACTCAACGGAACCGTTGTAGCGGCGCTGGAGAAGGGTGCTGCCGTTGACACACCAGGTGTCGAGGGGAGAACGCCCGGGGCGGATGAGGTAGTTGCCAGGAGGGCCGACCACGGTGGAGCAGTCACGTGGCAGCTGACGAACCAGGTCTTCGTATTCCTGCTGTACCGGTTGCAACTCCTTAACCTCACCCATCAACTCTGGCAAGGGGATCGTTTCAGTTTCATTGAACTCCTTGTTGGCAGCTTCGCTCTACGAAAGAAAATTAACGCATGAAAGGTAAATACTCTAACTAAAATAAATTATATTGCTAATACATTTAGCAGTTGTAAAGAAAATAAAGAAATAATATCTGATAAAAGTATTTTATGCTGGTTTTACAAAAATCCCAGCTTAACAACTTATTACTTGTTTGTGCATATAATACAAATATGAAGTTAGAGTACAAGAAGTATGTTCGCTGGAGGCAACGAAAGTGTGCCCCTCTTGTCTCCATTGTTACAGCCCTGCTCACAAGGGCGGATCCAGGGGAGGGGGGGTCATGACCCCCCCCCCCTGGGCTGGGTAGAGATGGACCAAACCCAGGGGGATTTTATTTAAGTACTTTCAATATTTAATATACCACGACTATATGACCCCCCCCTGGCGCCAAAGCTGGATCCGCCATTGCCTGGTCACAGCCCCGCCTGCCCTGCCTTTAATCCGGGCCTGTCATTATACGAGTTTCAGTCTTGATTCGAGGAGACAGTCGCGTCTAACTTTAAAACATTTACCTCTTTTATACATAGTTTAGTTCATAATATATCATGTTAAGTTTAACACAACATTGATGAAATAGCTGTCGTTTACATTTTGTAGAGAATTCACTATCTCAGAAAAAAAATAAGTTGCTGATGTAGGTAAACGAAGTAAACTTAATAAAATAGAACAAACCAATTACCTTCAGAATATGATCGTTGAGCCTGTAGTAGTGCTGCTTGGATCGGGCTTCCAGGTCTGTCACGGTGTCGTTGATCCTCTTCATGGCGAGTCGGTCTATTTCCGCGCGGTCGATGGTGTTGCTGACACTGACTGCGATGGCTTTCACGGACTGGCGGAGATTCTCCTGATCTTCCTTCAGGTACGAGGACTGAGCGTTTAACTGCAAAGGGAAATCCTTAGCTTCTTATTTACACCACAAAAAAGTTACGTAACCTTTTTTGTGGTGTAAACCGCGCTTGAACTTTTACACAATTTTACTCCGTAACCAATTTTCAAATATCATAGCTAAATCTAACTTTTGAACGAAAATTTAACTAGAAAACCCAATTGACCTAGCTAAAGTTTATATGATATATAACGAAATATAACAAAGCTTACTTGAGCAAAATTTATGTCCAGCTTGGAGATCTCTTTGCGGAACTCGGGGATAGTTTTGTCCGCTTTGTTCTCAATGCTCTCTACGTCTTCGCGGAGCTCCAACATCGAAGCGTGAATCTTGTCGAAATCGGAGACTTTCTGGGTGGTGTTCTTTAGTTCGGTCCTTATGACTTTGGTCTCTAATTCCAAGAAGTCAACTTTAGCCGAGATGAGGTTCCAGTTGGGCTCTTCGTAGCGGTCCATGCGCCTCTGTACATCGAGGATTTGGGTTTGCAAGTTCTGCTGGAATTCGTCGAGCTGGTCTTGAGTGCGTGACAGACGGGATATCTGCGAGTGAACCATTTTGTTGTGCCGATACTTGTGGTGCTCGCCCCGAGGCTCTCCACGGCGGCTCTCCAGCAGCACGTCGTTGTAGCTGTCGTTCGACGAGTCGTACATTTGCATGCTTTTTATCTGAAACAATGTTGCCATATCAGTGAATGTAAATATCATTATTAAAAAGATAGGAAGTAAGGAGGTACTAAAAGAAAATAAATAAATGCACTTTAAATTAAATTAGATGCCAGCCGGGTATTCTGACTTTCTATGCATTTTTTCAGACGAAGCTCGTCGGGGTGACTATTGATATGTATGTGTACTTAATTTATTTCATATATCGTTATAAATAAGCAGAAATTGAATATAGTTATGAACTTAATTTTATTGCGTGCTTTTAGAATAATTATAATACGTATATTTAGGTATTGTAGGTACTACTACTAACTCTAACGAACCTCTTTGATCAACATTTATTGCCTGATTACGCCTACCACATCTTTTAAGCTCCTTTAATCAAGGAAATATGAACCGTGGAGGTATGATAAGACTTAGAATTTAACAATTAATTATGAATGAAGTTCGCAATTATAGACGGCGAGTGACGGTGACGTAGCAATCCAACCTAAAACGGGATAGGCAGTAGGGCAAAATTATTAAAATAATAAGTAGAACTCCATTCCAGTAGAGATCAGCGGTTCGCCTTCAAGTGTATAAAATAAATATTAAATGAAGTAGGAATATTTTTTGCAAACAACCGGGTTTTCCCCCCGAGTGCCCTAATAGTTAAGTACCTTATCTTGAGGTTAATGCTTTGAATTTGCGAAATTGAGGAACGAGGAATTTCTTTGAGGCTTCTCTTATTATGTTTATTAGCTGTTGTACTAGATGAACAGAATACCTACATAAACTGATTCCAGAAATATGAAACATACAAATTGAATCTTGAAATAAAAACCTCTAATTGCAGGACTAACCTCATAATACTCAATCTCTCGGCTAGAGTAGTCAGTGTTTTCAGATATGTCTCAGAAGTTTTTATTTAAGGAAACTTTGTTCACATTTAAAAAAATATTACAAGCAATTGCTATTACACCAATATCATAGACCCATTAGGCTAAGACTTACGGCGCGATTTTCTCCAGCACCCGCCGCTGCTACGTGACCGCAAATCACGTATAATGCCAAAATTGTAGGTTTTAAAATAAAAGCAAAACTCACGGCGCTATTTGCGCCCGCAGAGCATGCGGGTGTTAGCTGGTGTTAGATGAGGGCGCGCGCGGAACGCAATCCACCGCAGACGCGACGGGTCCGCGCTCTCCGTGATTTTTATGCGGGCCCGCAAATTCTGTGGGCTCCCAGCCGCGACGTCTGCGGGATCTCAAAACACTGCGGTCTCGCGAGTTTTGAAATAAAACAGCTTTTCCGGTGCCGCAACGGGCGCGGGAAAAAATCGCGCCGTGAGTTCTTAGTGTTATAGGATCTCAGGACTTGGTGGGTAAGGGACATACAATATATGAAAAGTGAAACAGATACTAAGAAATCTGTATCTGAATGAACTAATTTCCAAAGAAATATGAATTTAGGGTGAAATTCAACAAGCGTTTGCGGTGATGCATGCTATAATGCGGCCGTGAAAAGAATACGTTTTTGGCTGGTTATTACAGTTTAATATGTAGACACCTTAACATGTTCTTTCACAGGGAGCATCTTTAGAAACAAATAATATAGCCCAAGCAGCGCAGCATCTATTGTTTAGTTTCTTGTTATAATTTTAGAGGAAAGAGTATTAAGCAGCATAGCTTGAACAGTGAAATTACAAAAAAAAAACTAATTAAAATGTGTATGTGAATAAGTTAATGGAATTTCTGAAAGAGCGAGTTTTTCGACCTATTTTTTCCTCCATTGACTTAGCTCTGAGCATTTCCGGATCGCAACCAAAAATAATCCGCCGTTCTTTTGACGACAAAGGCTGTAATGGTAACCGTATTTTTTTTCTGTTCGTCGTCGAATATGAAATACAGTATTCTTCCCCGACGGTTAACACGTACAAGAATCTTAAGGAGGATTAAGGCTAAGCACGGTTTACATTAGCATCGCTTTCAACGATAATTATTATCCGATATTATCCACTAAAATTAATGCATAATCGGTAATTTGATTGATATACGTACTCCGCGCCGGCTCTGATGCGTTGCAAGCGGCCAAGTATGCATATAAATTGGCTAGGTTAGGTTAGGTTCTAGCTAATTCATTTAGGATACAAAACGTGGTAAGTTATCTTAGCAACCCCTTTTTTATCTACAGAGGCGATACGGACCACCGTAGGATAGATTCTACCTAGAAAACTGTTAGGGTCTCAGTTCCGCTTTCCTCCAACCAAAGATTTTCGTCATCTTCATTATTCGCTTAATATTCGCAAGTAAGCCTGTCGCCCATAACTCAAACAGATTTCGAATTGGTAACGAGGTTTTGTGCTGTTGCCAAGTTATTATGTCTTAAAATCTTTAATGAAAAATTCAGTGCAGATGAAAGGAAGGATCTGTACTTAACGGCTTACAGTCAAACGTAAATTGCAGGTGCTTAAACAAAGGAGGTTGGCGTGTGTGATTCGGAAATATTCATGAAGCTGCAATGGATGCTAAGGGTGCTTCAATACTCTCCGACATTCAGAAGCGCGATGGTGGCGCGGTGTGCAAATACGCAGCTTCACTTAAATGATAATTGGTTATATTAAATACGTTAACATCTGCACAGTATTATGATAAGTATTTTTCATTTAGGTTCGATACGTTGTTATATTATAGTAAGTATTGAATTGTATTGTAGTTAAAATAATAATTATTATTATATCTAACACTCACACCAATTAGCTTAGCCCAAAAGTAAGCACTGCCAAAGCTTGTGTTATGGGATACTAATGTAATGGATAGAACACATACGTAAACTGTAAAAATACATAAACTGATATATGTATAAGTATTTTATATAGAAACACATATAAACTAAACATCCATGACTTAGGTTTATGCTCGTATTCATTATACTAGCATTTGCCCCACCGGGATTCGAAGCCGGGACCGCTAAGTAGGCGACACCTTTAAACCCGGCGTACATACATAACACTCGGCCACGGAGGTCGTCAAATTTAACTTTGAAACTTACTGAAACATTTTAAGTAAACGGAGCTTCTGTTTACTTAAAATTTCGACCACAAACCCAAAGACACAATAAACACTGCAGATAGTTTCTATTGCCTTATAATTCTACGTATAGCACTTATAGGCTTAAAACAAGTGTGATTCTATTAAATAGAAAAGAATTTTAATGTTATATCGTTATTAATGGACATTTAATAAAAGCTTACTACCAAAATTTATAATTTAAAACGAACAAGATATATTGCTTTAAAGTTATAACCGGCGCGCTCATTATTTTGAGATTTGTGTATGACAAGTACTCAGACTATTTCTTATGTTTTCAGACTGTTAACCTTTACGTATAATATACTAAAATCCTATTCGAAACTCTGCCTTATTATCAAGCTTAATACACATATAAAAGAAGAAACTGAGTGGCTGACTGTTAATCACTGCACAGCCCAAACCACTGGGCCTGGAGACGGATTGGGAGAGTATCGAAGTTTTTAAGGATGAATTTTAACGCGCACTTAGATAAACTCGAAACTTGGTATAGTTTATTGTTTGTTGCTGATACGGTTGATAGGTTAGGTTAGGTTGGTTGGTTGAAATTGCTTAATTCATTGCAAAGCCCACGCAGAATTTTGCAAACACTGCATGTGCGAGACGTCCTTTGCAGGTTTACATGGAGAAAACCATTAATTTGGTTAGCAAAGGTCGTATTCAAACCACTTCTAAGCTCGTCTCATACTTAAGAGGGATAGTTTACTCTCATACAACTACTGGCCTCGCAACGAAAATATCGTTACTACTGGTATTTATTAATTGATTAATCTATATCATGTACTACATTCATTCCACTGCACTGCAAATACATTACAAACATTTTACATACAATAAATAGCAAGTAATATATATACCTATGTATAAAAGAAGAAACTGGCTGATTGACTGACATATTAACGTACAGCCCAAACCGCTGAGTCTAGAAACTCCAAATTTGGTGCGTAGATTCCTTATGAGGTCTAGGGGTGCACTAAGAAAGGAATCGGAAAACGGCTGAACGAATTTGGATAAAATTTTACTCACAAATAGTTTATTTAATGGATTAAGACAATCATTTTTATCCTGAAAAATGTTATGTTAGGAAGGATTCTCAAAAAACTTAAGTTAACGTGGACGAAGTCGCGGGCGGTCGCTACTATTTATATAATCATAGCACGTAAGTTATCTTAGCACTTACCTAAATAAAATTCATATTGTTTATGTCTAACGCAAAAATAACAGGCAGGCTGGGTATTTGTAAACTTATTACAATTACTTCTAGTGCTTTATATATAATATTTTATGGGCCTTTTATTTTGTGGCGGTGTACAAAATACTTTCCCTGATTTCCCAGGAGATGTGGCATCTAACTTCAAGCGAAACTACTGGACGGAGGTGCCTTTACCTACTTAGCTCATAGCGGTTAGTATACATTTTGAGACCCGTAAATAGGCACTACATTACGTGAAAACCAAGTGAGTGAAATTGTCGTATTTTGTTTTATGGGAGGAGGAGGGGATATTGGGATGATGACAGGGTAAACGAAAGTCTACTAAGTCCGTCCAGTTCAGTACAAACCGGTTAAAAACCTTCAAACCTTCCAGTTTGATTATCAAAAAAAAAATAAGAAATAAAGGACAGACACTATTTTTTTCTTTTGTCAATCAACCAAATATTACAGAGATAAAGTGTGTCAAAGTTTGCGATCGGGTGTTCGTGATGTTACTTCTCAATTAAAATTGTACCAAGACGTGACGTCATACGACATTTCAAGTCAACAAATCTCTGTAATATTTTTTTGATTACCTGAAAAAGAAAAATACGTCTCCAAAACTTAAAAAAAAACGTAGTCATGATCCCTATTCTTTCCAGTTTTGTAGATGGAGCGGTTCGTTGTCCGTAGTATATCTGTATAATGTAAGTTCCTATAAAAATGAAAACAATAATGCAAAT